ATTTCTCCCCATTCTCATCTAGCTAGTCTTACCAACTCTCCAGTCTCTCCAAAACAGTTGTAAACCAGCACGTCCGTAACAGTGACGCTGCCCCAGCAGTCTGAAACCCAGCTCACGTTTATTTCACTTATAGTAACAGAGTATCATAAATCAGGCAGGTCTCAGAACCACTCAAGTCATTGGAGAAGGTGCATTTCAAGACTTCTGACAACACTGTGTTGACACTTAAGACCCTCCACAACAGCTGCCCTTTAAGCCCCAACTTCCTGACAGAGAAGCTCTCCTGGCTGACTTAAATGAGGCAAAGCAAAGCATGACATGGAAAGAAATTGTGGGGACCCAGTCCCTGCTCACAGTGCACACTATCTAGGTATAAATACTACATACAATAGACTTTTAATGCATTTCCAGCCTTTTCCCATCCTTAGAGCTTCACGGCAATAAAGTAACTATGCAGTGCAGCCTCTGCAGCGTTAAGTAGTTAGGAATCTGTAACTGTAAGCCGGCAACACTAGCACAAAGGGAAAAAGTCAACTTGTTTACAGAGCACAGTCACTGTCTTTATACCAATAAGAAACTGCACAGCAGTGAAGTTATCTTCTGACAGCACACAAAGCTTGCTTTTGGTCTGTCTACCCTGAGAAAAAGCACTGACTAGTCATAGGCTCAAACAAAAGCCGTAGCAGAGTAGCCCCAAGCTGCACTTCCAACTTTCACAGAATAATGCCACTCTGAGAGGTGCCCCCACTGCCCTGCCCAAAGCACAAGTACTCCTCTTAAATGGAAACAGGAAATAGAAATCAGTTCAAAAGCCACATGTGAGTTATGCTGGGGTTGGGGACATAGTGAGGGGGGAGGTAGTTAAAAAAAACCAAAACAACCAAAACCAAACAACCCTGATGAAAAGTAGTACTATTTAAAAAAAAGGCCTTCACCATAATCACATCATATGATACTTCAGATACAAAATATTCCAAAACAAATTGTAGTTGAGAGCCATTCACTCTATCAGTAGGCCTTAAAAGCAGTCACAGGCATCAGCAAATGCTGAGAATTCCTCATGGCCCAACCTGCACTTTTACCTTCCTCAGCTTAGGGTTTGTTTTTTTTTTTAAAAAAAAAAAGCATCAGTAGCAGACTGTGAGCACACTTGTCTGTTTTGGCACTCCCCCCACATACACGCTGAAAAAATCATTTTAATACCCTGCTCTTCTCTTAATGGCTAGGTAAGAAAAATACAACTTTACATAACTATTTCAAATTTATGTCATGTTACAGCTTGACTGACAGCAAGAGATAGTGATAAACTATACTTCAGTGCTACTCTGTTTCCATTGACTGGTGATTGCAAGGCAGTTCAGTGCACCTAAGACTGTGTAGGAATATCCAAGCTAGCGCTAAATAAGTTGGGAAATTAAAAACCTGTATTCAGTTCTAGGCTTTATAAAAACCAAAAACACACACACACACAGACACACACACACACACTTAAAAAACAGTTTAGGTTCAACAGCTCCCCAGGAGGCTATTTCTGAAGGGGTTCTGAGAGAAGGAAAGTACATATCCCAAATAAATATTGGTGACAGCAATCAAAATGAGACAGAAACTAGACACTTTTCAGCTAACCCTGGGTGTACCTGTTGTTAGGCATGGCACATTGCTTCATCAGATGACAACTCCAACTCAGCTTGTTCATGGGCTGTAAAGACACTGATGTCCAAAGGCAAATACTGCTCTGCTAACTCACGCTCCTAGGAAGTGCTTCCAAAGGAAAATTTTCACAGGCAAGAAAGATGGTTGTAGGTGACCATGTCTAGGGAGGGAGGAGGGGAGCCAGCCCTCTCAGCAGTTGGCAGACCTGTTCTACACAGAAAACAGGTATCTGCACCATGAGATGTGTTTACAGGCATGAAGCTTGCAATGACTAAAACATTTTATCCATTCTGTAAGAGCAAAAATCACACTATTCCTTCCAACAAACGAAATATCCAAAAGTACAGACCTAATCTTGGCACATTTCCTACCAACTACACTAACACTAAGATTTTACCCCTGAAGACTCGGAAATTAGGTTAAGTTATAGAAATGCTGCGGGCCCCAATACAGGATAAGAGTGCATACAGACAAGGCGTAAAGATACCACAGTCACCTGAGGCCACTAATGTCCTCAGGAAAGGAGAGAGGGGAAAAAAAGGCTTTTTCACTCACCTTTATCTTCTCACACCCTCTCCCTTACACTTTGGTGTGTGCATGTGTGTGTATATATACACACACATACACACACACACACACAAAATCCCCATCTTTCAAGGAGCTGCTTCTAAGTATCCTAACACTGGAACACCATCTGCTCATCTGCATGTACTGATCCTTAGAGCATCAAAATGCACATTTAGCTGAAGTACCGACACAACATCAAGTGCAGACAGCAGGTTAACTCAGAGTTCAAGGCTGCCCATAGCACACTGCCCTAATTAGGACAATTAAGCAGTTCAATCTTCAACAGTAGCAGAACAGTGAAAACTGGCCTACAGATATCTTGCAGTAAAGACATCAACCCATTCTCAGCTGGTTTCATCTGTACCGGTACAAATTTGACCTCCAACTCCCCACTGAAGTGAGCTGTTATTTCTAGAAACACAGCTGAAGGGGAAAGTGTATTTCCTATGGTCACAAGAGGAAACAAATCTGGCAAGTGAAAGCAAGTCACTGTGAACAGAGGACACAGGAAGCAGCACAGTCTAAAGACCTCATTCACCTGACCTTTAAGGAATGAACAGTGAATTAGACTTTACCAAAAGTGACAGTAACCCACTACAAAGTTGCCCATCCCAGAATATTATCTGTCTTCATGCAAGTGCGGTCCAGGCCCTATCCAGACAAATACCTGTAGCTATTAGTACCGAGTAAATTCAGCATTTGCTGCCCAGCCTGGGAAGAGATGGTAGCCACCACAGAAAACAGCTTCGCAGCTGTCTAGAACCACTTCTACCCTGAAGAGCTCTAAAGCATCCAGCTGCTGTGGCAGCTGGCCTTTACTTCATATTGCTGGTAAGGACAAGGACCTAAAGAACATTTAAGTGAAAAAAAACACATGGGTTAACTGAAAGTCAAAGAAAATTTGACTTGGCTGTGACCTCTGCTCTTTTCAAGTCTTCTGCTGAAAAGTCTACAGAATTTCTGAGCACAAGTATTTTCCCCACTCCTGAAGTGGTGACCAAACTAACAAGACTGTGCTGGGTAATTACTTTTCTGCTTTAATAAACAGATCAATGCTTCCTGGGCCACCAGAGCTCATCTCATGTCTTATGAAGGAATAATGCCTGAAGAACCTCCCAGCCACATGGCAAGAAAAAACATCACCATCTCCTTTCTCACTTTCTCCTGTCCTTGATCAGATATATTTCCACAGGATACAGCTCAGGAACAACAACAGATTAAAAGATGCAGAGATGCAGTACTGAAAGTGTGTTCTGGAAGGCCTGAATAAATGAGTGTGTGCAGCACCTCCACACAGCTCCCATCTCTACCTGCTCAGTGTGAGGAATTTTTTTCAGAGAAAAGACTGGACACTTCTGAAACTACCAACCTGTGCCTCATACCACTGAGCTGCTTGTTCAGTCAATGTCAGCCTGAGGTGACATTCCCTGGCTCTTCCTCTGTTGGGGTTCTACAGCTACTGGAAGACAACTGTGACAGGGTCTGTCATACAGAAGCAGTGCAATCTGTATGAGGACTAGAATTGGTAAAATAGCCAACAAGAAAAAGTTTTCAGCACAGTGAAAGATAACGGGTATTGTGATTTCTTTTTTCTCACAGTCTTTATGCAGACTACACAGACTGAAAGCAAGCACACTTCACAGCTCCACTGTATTTTCCCAAAACAAAGATACTGGTGACAGTGCTCTCATGCTCTGTGTTTTCAATTACACTAGTCTGAGAACAGAGAGCACAGAAAGGGCTCCAGGAACCCAAACTTTCCAGACATCAGACTATGCTCTCCAGTCAAATTCAGGAGTTTTGCCCAACAGCCAGCTCATAATCAACATGGAACTTAGTTTAAAAGCCATAAAACTTCACACATTCTTCCGAACATCAGTATTTATAATTAGCATGTAACTAGATAGTTTATGGAAGAATACAAACAGTTACTCTTGCACAGTCAGAAGTGGAAGAACCTGTCACACAGTCTGGCCTGTACAGTACACAAAGGCAAACTAAAGGAGCCTGTTCATCTGTTTTGCCCTATGCCTGTGAGTTAATTTTTTAAGAGTATCGCTGAAAGTAACAGGCCTCTACTTCTAGCTTGCAGAAACTAAGTTCCCCATCATCACTGGCTAAAGCCAAGTAAGAAGCAAAATACATTACTACAGAGAAACTGGATTCTTAACATCCATCAATCATCTGACTTCCAGTTTTAAAAGCCCTGAAATTTATGTGCTTGTATGCTTACAAATGGCAGTGGCCTTTATACTTCCTTGACATAGAAAGAAAAGCTTTCTAAAGTTAATTTTCTGCAATGCTGTCCCTATTGGATATCTTGCATAGTCCACCAACCATCTCTCTAAACACATGGGAGCAGACCACTAGCTTTCTTTAACAATTATACCAAGGGTGGGCAGTTACCGTTTTGCAGGATACTTTGGAAGTACAAAGCTCTGCACTACCACATGTTAGCACTGGTGTCAAGACCAGAAAAGGAACCTGGTGGCTAGCAGAAGCGTAGGCAGAACACCCCAGGCTTACCACGACTCCCGTGACACCCATCAACATCCCAGCCTGCACGTACCTCAGCCTCTGCAAAGGCATGTCATTCTCAGAGCAGTACCAGGCAAGAAACCTTTGGCTCACAGATTGTGTAAAAGTTCTGGCCACATGCCTTGTGCTGGACCCCTGTTCCCCAAGGCAGGACAACCAGCTACCAGGGCTCACAGGAGCTGCCACTGACACACAGCTGGCCAGCTCCATCATACTGTCAACATCATAGCAGAGAGAAGAGAGTCAGTCTAAGAAAACGAGTGTTTAATCAGGAAATGAGAAGAGACAAGGGATAAGAAACTCATTACAGGAGAGTAATACCCCAGCCAAAAGAAACATGATTGTACAATTCGGAATAACCAGGATCAAAACATCCTATGAGCCAGCAGTGCCCAGTGTGGGACACTCCTGAGAAAGAGCTCAAGTACTTCTGGCAGTCTCCAGGCAGCTCAGTACAGTCACCAACTCTGACTGCCCAAGCTTCAGTCTCTGCCCTCAGCAGCTGCTGCAGAGAGGCCCTGGCCCTGCTAATCCAGTCTCAGCTTCTCTCAGCAGGAGGTGCTGAAAGGAATGGAGGGAGCACTGGCTGCACACAGCAGTCCCAGCCTCTCCTGACAGAGGATGGTGTGTGGAGTAAGAGAAGCCCATACAAAAAAAAAAGTTTACATATTTATAAATGCCAAAATAAATATTTAAGACAGAATTCCCCACCCCTCTAACATGTGCGTAACCACACTGCAAACTGCTCGCAGGACAGACTCCAGGGGCTCAGGGAAAAAAGCGGTGACTACACCACAGGGCAGCCAGCTCAACTTCCTTCTCATTTCCTGATGTTTCTGAAGCCTGCAGCCCACTGGGAAGGAGGAAGAAGAGCGAGCAAAGCAGAGCGCCAACACACAACAGTGCTGGAGAGGAATGTCATGGTATAAATACATCATATCAGTGGTTTCCAACAAGTTAAAACTAAATTAAAAAAGACACCAGAAGGAAGGATGGCGTAAATGGAACTACAACTACGCAGAGCAAAGGGTTGTGTGTCCGTGGAGCTCCACCTGTTGTCACGGTGAAAAGGTGGTCATTTCCAGAGAGACCCTTTGCCACAGCTCCTTTGTCTGCTTGCTGCGCTTCATGTTCTGGATAATATCATTAAACTGCATCATGCCCATGGGAGTCAGGCAGAAGGCGCTTCTGGCGCTGCGGATGGCATTCACAAAGTCATCGTAGTCAGCTGGAGTGAGATGGATCAGCCGGTGATGGATGTACTGGATGGGAACAGGGAAAGAGCTTTAAGGTATTTGCTCACCACCCTCACACTCGGAGAAGGACTCAAGAGCTCCCAGGGTGATATGTCACACGATCCTGTTACCCCACAAGAGGCCCCAAAGCTCAGAGGCTCTGACAGAGGAGAGCTAGCTCAAAAGACAGCAGTGCTCCATCTTACACTGTAGCACAGCCAAGGAGAGCATGCCCTCAGAACATCAAAATACATCACACAGTATCAACAGGTGTTCTCTCCTTCATGAGCAGCAAATTGCACCACAGTACAGCGCAAAAGGGCCAGCCAGCACTGCCCCACCACCCACCAGCATGTAACCCCCACACCACTCATTTGCAGGTTATACATGGGGACCCAGCATGTTCACTGGACATCTCCTTTGCTAAGGGGTATGAAAGGAATAAGGTTGACACTAAGTTGTTAAAAAATGTCTAGGCTTAGTACTGTCACTTCCATCAGCTTCTCAACTAGGCCCTAAAACTGCAGGCCCAGCTTTTGAGAAATCTATTTCCCTAATATAGCTCAGAAAAAGAGCTTAAGTGAAGAAGCTGTCATTTCTACAGAATATCACCTAGGTGATAGGACAGTTAAGCCAAGCTGGAGAGTGTATCTACAGAATCACCCTTCTGGTCATTTACTCAAGAGAAGTAGGTACATGTGGGCTGTCCTGTTCACACTGTTTTAGGGAACAGGTGTCTCTGGTATTCCATCTGGCTCACTGAAACACACATCTCAGGATTTATTGAAACCCAGATATCTCATCAGTACTGGTAGCTGAACAAGCCACTTCCACTATTAGTGGCAGCACTAGTGCACCAGACAGTTGTGCCAGGGCTTCATGACGAGGGGAAGACAGGCTACAAACAAGGAAAGAAACAAAAAAAGATCAGCTAGGAAGGGAGGTGGACAGGGAGCTTGAAAACATAGCAAAGAAAAAGAAGTATAGGTACAGCTAGCATTTGGAGGAAGAAAGAGGACAGGGAACACAGAACCACCTCAGCCTTTGTGGTTAGCACAGGAGGTGAGAGGCCTTGGAAGAAGCAGTACAATAAAGTCCCCTGTATGCAGCCTCCACACAGGCAAGTGATGCCTATTCGTCAGGTATGCGTCAGGCAATGGATCAGTTCCGCTACCAGTACCCAAAGCCCCTTCTCCCCTGCACACACACATGGAGGCAGTACTCGCAAGGCAGGCAGTGGCCTGGCAGCTTTGCCAGGCAAGACGACAGACCACACATTACCTGTATGTAGGCCTGCTGGCACCTCTGCACCAGCTGGTGGAAGGCTGGGGTGCGCAGGTGGTTGTGCACATGGGCAGGGTTGAGCCTCTGTAGAGCTTCCATGATGATCTCCTGGAGCACGAAAGGGCTCAACACCCCCTTGGCTGCACCAACGCAAAACTGATGCACGTAGTTTACACCTGCACAGGAAGAAGTCAGAACAACAGTGGTAACTTAAGAGACACACTGGAAATCAAGTACTTCCCAGCAAGAACCTGGATTTGGAGCACCTTCTTCTCAGTGTAAGGTATCCTCCAGCAGGCTTGGAGAAGATAGTCTAGCAAACTCATGGGGACAAGAGATCATTCTGATATATTCATCAGGTCTGAGTAGAGACCAGGTACCACCTCAGTTGCTGATATTGCCAGTCCACCTGTCTTTAAAGGGGATGTGAAAGAAAACTGGTGTGGCAAGGTAACTAAAGAGGCAAGGATACACTGCACCTCCTCCCACTGCTTCTTGCCTGCCCATCTAGGAACCACCTGCAGCCCCAGCACTCAGGTCGTAGGGAGGCTGGAGAGAGTGTCAAGCTTTCCCACTGCTGCCTAGAGTAGAGCTCCCCCAGCAGCAGCAGGAGAAGCCAGGCCACTAGACAGGCTGTTTGTACAGGGTTTTTAAGTTCCTACTGCTGATGAAATAATTTATAAAAAAAAAAAATCTGACAAAAAAGATCCAAGAGCAAAGTAGAAGTAAAAACAAAAAACAAAAAACAAACAGTTGGTGGTTTCAGCACCTATTGTTATACCAAGTCTTCACAGAAGGTGTAAATATACATAAGAAAGAGGAATACCTACAAGATAGTGGAAAGGGAAAAAAGTTGTTGTTATAGAATGGAAGAGATACAAGCTCTGAGCCCTGTCCAACCCCATGCACTTCATCCAGTGCTCAAAATTCAACAGCACGACTACAGAACCCAGAAATGGGACAATTGCCTGGATGAAAGAGCAGCAGGGATCTTCTGAAACATTCTCAGAAATGGGATCAGATATCAGGCTCACCCAGTCTTTGAAGTTTCACTCTTTGGAGAGCTTTTTCCCACCATGGTCCAAATCCCAGAAAGTGGATTTCTCTTGAAGTACTGCTCTGAGCCTTACCTAACTTCGCAGCTAACCCAAGGAGCCATTTTACATCCTCTGTGTAAGGTGGGCTGCGGGAGAAGTTGTTGGGATGGTCGTTGTGAGCTCTTCGGCCAAGCATCTCCAGAGCCAGCATCCCTGTGAGAAAGGGGCAGCCAGAGTCAAGCAGCACTTCTGCCCAGTAAGGCTTAGTCTAGCACTTCACTCACTGCAATACAACCTGATTGGCCTGTCCTTCATCAGCAGAAAATTCCCTGGCTACAAAGAGTCCAGAGAGAAACAGAAGCCCCACGGAGCCTGTCAGCACAGGAAGTATCTGCAAGAACATCTGGATCTGCTGCTCCAGGCTGGAAAATATGCACAGCCACCACACCTCACTAGAGCTACAAAGAGACACTCCACTACATGTGAGCATCTACAATCAAATAGACCCAAAGGCTGCACTACAGAAGGTGTCCTGAAAGCAATGCATTTGCTCCAAATTTTGCAGAGAAGCTACCCAAATCAACTTATTCAGCTGCAAAGACAACAGGCCAACAGGGAGCCTGTCTGTGTTGTCAATCTGCACACATTTTACTTATTCCATTACAGTTATTCACGCAAATCTTTCCATTAAAAAAGTTTTAAAATACCAACAGGCCCTATGTCTTGATCTTCCAACCCCCTTCCCCACCCCTGCTTCTGTTATTCAGGCTACTGAATGCTCTTCATGGCTCACTGCTTAGCACTGCAATGTTTCCAATGACATTTGCAGCCCTTTCTTCTCTAGCTTTCAGCAAAAAAACCTCAAGCAACCTCTATAGCCTTCCTTCTATTTTCTTGCCGTTTCTCTTTGTTTGCTGCCCCGTGCTGGCTTTGCTTACCTTAGAAGCTCCCTCCTCAGGTATCCACTGGGTTGGACCACAACTATGTACTAGTAGTTTACTACAATCTAAGCTCAGTCAGAAACCCCAAGACTGATACCCTTGTACCAATGGCAATTCAGGCAGAGAGTCTAGTTCCTCATAACCAGTGTGACTGGGAAATGAACGCTAATTACATACCCACTCTCCACAAAATAGAAATTCTCTTGAAGTCAACCTTCAACCACCTGGCTGGAAAGGCACGGGACACATCACTCCATGCCTCTGAAGACTCATCTGGTATCATTAAGATAGAAGTGTGCCTTCACCATCCATGAGCAGGAGATGAACTCCATTTTTTCACATAGTCACAACCTGCACAACCACATCCTCAGAGCCATATCCAGACTCCTTTATGTACACCTGTTGAAAGGCAAGACTCTTCCCAACTCTAACCCACTTAGCTTTCTTTTCTACTCCAATGGCTCTCAAGAGTAACTGTTCAATCTTCTGCTGCTTTGTCTCCATTTTTAGCCTCCACATATGATCATGAAGTGGCTTTCCCCATGTACCTAAGATGTCATCACCCCCAACAGGTGCAGTAGCAAATTGCCAAATAACAGTGAAAACCTGCAGCCCTGCCCTGAATCCCTCTCAAGGGGGCCATAGAAACCCACTCGGCCATCCTTACCAACTCGGTATGCGGAGTGGAGGTAGTGCAGACCCTGAGGGCTCACAGGCTGACTGTGCTGCTCATCCTCGGCAGGAAAACCCCCTGTAACAAGGGAGTTGGGCTGTGAGGACAGAGTTGTCAAGGAAGCCCCCTGAATCGCTGGGAACGTTGATCCTGCATGGACACTTCCTACTGAAGAGAGCAAAACAGCAGCATTAGGACCCACCACCAGCCTAAAAGAAGGTTTACTTGGGCCATCATCTCCCTCACTTGACCGCTCCCTGCCAATGTAGTGGTCTATTCCCCTAAACAGAACATAACTGCAACCAAAAACCACAGGCTTACAACTGAAATACAGTGGGCTAGGAACATCTCCGTTTTGCTTGCAAGCAGAGCCTGGAGTCAGTTACATGCTTGTCCATCTCTTTTGGAGTATTCCACGAACATATACATCAATCATGTTTGACTCACAAATACATGTGTTGACTCAAAGGTACTATTAACTGACATTTCTGGTCCCAATTTCTTGCCTAAGGAAACAAGCATGTGCACGTCTACACTTGATGAGAAACTGCTGAGGAAATTCATTGAGCAGGACCAGTATCAAGTCACTCAAAGATCAAGTCCAACATTGTGAGGTTTCTCCACTTCTGCTGTAAGACAGCTATTTGTCCATCCAGCTACTGTGGGGGAAGCATGTTCCCGGAGGCTAGCCTCCAATCCATCCTTGGGAAGAACCGCCATCACACACACTGGCAGCACGTACCATGAGTGAAAACAGCAAGGAAATTTGAGAAGCTCTGCCACCTTCAGACACTAGTATGGACAAATTCAAGGAAAAATCACAGAAAAATCCATTACACTGTACCACCTAAACTTGTACATACAGCAGTTAACACTGAACCAGTAAGCTGTACTCTGACAAGGGACTGAAGTTTATCTAACTTTCCCTCTCAAGAAAGGTACAGAGAGGAAAAAGCAAGGTTTGCCTGAGAATTCCAGAGCAGAGATGTCACTAGGTGTGTGCACACTGTTACCCTTATTTCGCAGCTTCTCTGTGGTGCTACTACACCAGCTTGGGCAATGCTCCAAGTTCCGATTTCCCCTGCCACCTCCAGCATGTTTTTCAAAATGTTTACTAGTGAATAGTTGAATACCTGAGAACAATGTGCCTCCAAGGAAAGATCTGTCTAATATCCTCAACCAAGCAGACACGCAGTGCCAAACAACCCACAAAGTAGGGCAAAATCCATACTGCATTTGAAGTCTGGCCAAGGAGAATAACCCGTAAGAAAGCTGGATTGTTGCCAGAGCTCAAGCATCATCACATGACCACATACTCCAGAAACAGCAAAACAGTATTTTAAGGACTGAAAAACAGAAGCTTATGCAAGTCATAAACAATGGCAGCTGAAAAGGGTGGGGTTGTTTTTCCCCTTCATTATTTTAAGTGCTCTAGGATGAGTTAGTAGTTCTGGAAGATTCATAACTCTTTGGAGGAGTACAGAAGTGGTTTCTCACAACTAAGAGTCACAGCATCAGTCCAGGAATAAGGCTGTCAGCAAATGACATTCTTCAGATCTTGAGGCCTTAGGACTATTCTAATGGCATTTGTGGTTGCTTTTTAGCATCAAAATGCAAAATAAAAATAACTGAAAAGATTCTCCTGATAATCTGGATACAAAGGAGGCCAACACATCTCAAGTGTTTTCCCATGTACCAGTCTTCCAGCACCTGGTGAGTTGCAAAGCACTGATAAGCAAACATTCAAATAGGCATTACCACCTCCCCAGTGAGGGTATAACAGAGCCTGTGTCAGTCATGCCTGACTGGTGTAAAACCCCATAGCAATGAGAGCACATCCACAATTCAGTCAACACCTGCTGTTCCAGTGCTGCACACTACTTGATGGGTCTTCACCACCACTCTAGTCCCAACACAACATGTGAGCAAACGTTCAGATTGCCATTGGCATGATCCTGCCGAAACACCTGTCCTCTCTACAGAAGTTCCACATTTTGGGTACTGGCTGCCTCTAATCCTTTCAGGCAGGAAAGACATCTATTAGTGCTACTGTAGCAGGTCTGCCTACTTCCTGCGCTCTATTCATCTGACCCAAAGGAACCACAAGAACCTGCCCAAGATCACCTATGCTCACCTTGCCCTAAGGAGAGGGAGAATAAAGCTCTAATAAGTTAGAAGTCAGAAAGATCAGGAGGGCTCCAAACACACTTTAGTCAGAGGCCAAAATAACTTCATACTGGAAATTTAGCTAAACAGAAATTAAAACTCCACTAGCTGAATCAGGCCTCATTATGAACCCCAGTACCCACAAGCATGTGCATTTTTAGGTTGGGGTAGATCTGGTCAAAACTTTTCAGCGCAAGAACCCCAGTTCCATCTGTGGCTAGTGAGGGGCAGGACTTGACTGGGGTATGGCTAGGAGTCACAGAAAACAACTCTATGCTATGCAGAGCCCAGAGCTGTAACACTTACTCGCTACGTTGGAAGACAGTGACAGTCCTGTCTCACTGTGATAGGGATGCACCGCAATCTGCGTCATGGATGGGACCGGCACACCAGGGAATGACACTGCTGTAGCTGCCAATGATGGTGTAGTTACTGAATAAGGGTACTGTGCTCCTATGAATGCTGGATGGACACCCTAAAATAGAAAATAATTAAGTCTGACCATTGAGAAGTAGTCCAAAATATGATATCCACACATAAATACTGAAGCGTGGGAAGTCCAATCTGAGAGTAAGGAGAAGACACAGGAAGAATCAGCACAGAAACTCCATTGCACCACATGATCATTACATCTTCTTGCTCCTCCTCCTTTTACATCTAATCAGTTTGCAGAAAACCACTCCAAGAACTCTCAAAAATATGCAGAGGCTAAAATAACCTTTGGTTTTCTCTGTAGTCTCTATTTAGTCTGCAAGCTCTCAAGACGACAAGTTTTCTGTACAGTGCCTTCTGAGAAACTATAGAGCAATAAAAACAAAAAACTACTGATGCATTATATTTGATATTCTTTTGAGACTTTACACATACCTACAGAAAACTCCTTAAAATGCAAAAGCTGAGCTGGGGAGCCAAAGCAACTATCACAAATCAATAAGTGAGAGCAGAAGCTAGATCTCAAGCCACAGCAGGTCTGAGCCCCATGCTCTCCCCAGTCAGACATACTACCTCTGGAAGTAGCCACACAAAGTCACCATAAATGAAGAAGGCAGAGGTAAAACTCACCTGCGGGTATGCTGAGCCAGGGACTGGGAAGACAGCTGGGCGCGGCATATGCTGGATAGTGTGTCCAATATACTGGGGATTACAGGGGATGTGAGTCTGAAGGGTGGTGTAAGGGTGGAGGCCCTGCGTGTGTGTATGTGCCATTGCTGGCCCTGCCATCGTATGCTGCTGGTACATGGTCGACCCCACAGAGATCACCGGCATGACTGTTGCTGCCGCAGTTACCGCAGCTGCCACTGTTACTGTGGTGGGCTCAGATGTCACCCGGTTGTCTGACAACCCCCGCGCTGCTTCAGAGGCAGCCCGTGCACCACTGGCACTGCAGCCGGTGGCACCTTCTCTCTGGGCTGGGGTCCCACCAACAGTCTGTTCATAAAGCCAGTACCACTGGTGAGCTACTTCAAAGAGGACTTCTGGGTACACGCCACCTCCTTTGGCCGCCTCCTCTACTGCCATACAGGCCTTTTCCAGCATCAGATTGTCCTGGGGGCAATGAAAGAAAAGCAGAAGTGAAGAATGCAAAACCAGGAACACAAGGCGGCAAAACTGCAGCAGGAAAAAAGTACAAGGCATTTAAAGTAACTGACGCTACGGGGAACAGACAGATCACAACTATGCTGCAGAATAACCACAGCTACTCATTAAAGATAAAAGAAATCCACAGAACTAAGATTAAGGCTGTTCAGTAGCATAGAAGAGCCAACCCCACAAGTAACAGCACATCCTTGATGCTGGAAATCAGCTTGTGCTAGTCAGCCCCTACATCATGCTCACCTGTTCCTTACACTGCACCAGAGCCCTCTGGATCTCATTTGGGTTCAGGGCATGGGCATGGGGCAGGCAGCTGAGTGCCAGTTCAGCAGCTGCCCGTACCATGTTGGAGTCTCTGGCCCGTGAAGCTCTGTCTGCCAATGATGCCACCTCTGGGGGAGTCAGATGTCCATCCCAACACTCCACCAAGATGTTCAAGGCTGCGCTACCAATCTCCATGGCCTGCCCTAAGAGGAAGAGGGAAGACTTTCACACCAATGTATGCCCAGCGCAGTTCCAGTCAGCCTTCTCTCAACAAGAGGTGCACTCCTCACTGCCTTCAAGAGCCGCGGAGAGAGCCCAGTTGCTCACCTTAGGCTTCAAGTCAAACTTAGGCTCTTCCTCCCAAAACACAGGGCAGGCAAGAGCCCTCAATAAGCAAGCAGTGAGTGAGGGAACCATTATTAAAATTAAGCTAAAGACGCATTTGAGGCAGTGCGAGGAATTTGTTATAGATGATTTTAGTATGCACAAACCACAGCCTAGACTGTCACTATTTCCATCACATCAGGAAAACATGAATTTTCAAGGGTGTGTTTTTCAGGCTATAGAAGCCACACGGATAGAAAGCAGGTAGTAAGGTCTGGGTGCAAACAGAAGGAAGAAAGTGAAATGCTGAACACACCAGAGCATGTTCAAACTTGGCACATGCGTCTCTTCAGCAGACCCCAAAGGAGAAGTTAAGACCAGTCTCTGTGTGAGAAGTGGTCTATGGCTCTGAAGACTGAAGCATGTTGCAGTACAAACAAGAAGAAACAGGTTGCAAAAGCTTCACAAGCTGAAAGAAACACCACTGTGTAAAATCACTGGTGTTCAGCTTGTACTGTCAGCTGTGCCAGCAGCTTACATGGCTACCACAGCACACCAGTATGACCATTTTAGGGCATAAGCTTGCCTCCCTCCCCTCCTTCCTGCTCAAAAGCAAGCTTCCCGATAAAGTTTTGCTGTAACCTGTGATCCAAGAGACATGGGAAGAGTAAGTTCGAGAGAGCCAGTTGGGAGACACGAAGTTGTGCAGCCCTAGTGCATACAGCCCAATCTCGAAGGCGCAGAGGTGAAGGTTGCGGTGTGGTCCCTGGTGCCCACCACTGGAGGAAGGGTGGGTGAAGATGGAGGTACTGCTGTTTCCACCTGCTTTGATAAGAACTGTCTTGGCCAATTCAAAGTAGAAGTGAGCAGCTGCCTCCGAGGGCTGGTTTGGGACATGAGGAGCATGGCTCTCCAGCCGCCTCCCTTTATACCTAGAAGAAAAAAATAGATTAATCTTTCAGACAGCAACAAGTACCACACGTTCACTAGCTGGAGTCTTTAGGGTCCAGAAGAAACAAAGCAAACTTCCTGATGTATATGTGTAAGTTCCCTGACATCAGGCCTAGAGGTTGCCTCCGTGAATTGCTATTATTCATTACCTGCCAACTTCCACAGTCTTTGCACGGGCTCCCCCACTGGCTCTCCTACTGCCACTGGAAGAGGAAGATCCCAGCGAATCACTTGAAGAACTGCTGATACTGTCACTGTCTTGTCCTCTGCCCCAGGATGTTGTTGCCCATCCCCCACGTAGCGGACGCCGACTGAGCGTTGGAGAACTGTCAGAGGTGGTTTCAGGAGCACTGCTGTCAATACTAGCCATGCCTATAACACCAAAACCAACACAGTAACGTCACCAGGGTTGGTAAATGTACTGTGTGTAGATAAACTCCTACCCCCACCACCTACAATCCCAACTAAGATCAGTCATGACAGTGACAGTCAGCCTTACAGCTGCCAGGCATTCAACTTTGCAAATTAAGAGAGATTAAATTAGTCAGTTTGGTCACAAATGTGTCATCTTGCAGTTCTCAGATTAAAAAGCTGAAGAATCCCAGAACAATATATCTTTATTTCCCCCTTCACATCATCCCAGTCTCACAATACATCTGCCAAGCTTTGTGGCAGAGTATAATAAGAAGCAAATACACACACAGAGTCAAGTTCCACAAATTGTAGGAGTATGAAGAAAATCCTTCTGGTATATGCTGCACAATTTACACAAAGGTTCTTCACATCGTCAGCTTCTAACTTACATACTTCCCAAGGGAAGTGTCAAGAGGCAGCAGCTCCTCTGAATTTGTTTCTGGACCCAGGAGCACAGAGTCCAGCAATCATTCAGCTCCAGATATCCAATCCATCACCCAGAACGTATCTGGTGTGAGAAAGGTATAGTAACTTGCCATATAGAAGGGGGCAGGAACTCTGTGGAGCAAAACCTCTCCATGCCAAACACCCCAGAGACAATCAACTGCTTCTGTAGTACAGGAAAGGCTGACAAGTCGCATGAAAGAGAAAGGGAATTGCTGAAACTCCAACAGGCTGCCTAATACAGCACTATGCTGTATGAACTAGTCAGTTCCTACCTGTGTGTTTCTTCTTCTGCCTGACAGGTGAACCCCAACATCTCCCATTGTATCCACCTCGGTTTCCAAGGGCCAGACGGCTGGGCACCTTTCCCTCTTGTTTCAAGACAGTGGCTTCCGCAGCTGGCTCACAGGGGGACCTCTGAGAGCTCTCTGCATAAACAGGACAGTGATAAGGTAAACATTATGATTTGTTTCTGTATCTCTAAAACCAGATGTGGCCATCTAAAAGATATAAACATCAGAAGATGCAGGAATTTTATAAAATGAGTGGTATTTATGAACAGGATTATCTCCGTTTTCTTTCAGTATTAAGCGTATCACCCTATACCAGGCCAATAACACTTAATCTTAACAACTCAAGATTTGGAAAATTTACTGCAACTACAGAAATATTTTAGAACAAAAATGCTCTGGCAACTCTAACCTTATTGCAGTCAACCTCAGATAGTACTGATCTTTTGGGGAAGAGTTAAGAGAGCATCCGCTTTCCACCAAAGGCTGCTGTATGTGATATTTGCCACCAGAGTGGAGGCACAGCTTGAAGAAAGCCACATTAATCTCGAATGCCTTTCAGCATTCTTGGTTATTTATATAGCACGAATGTACCTGACTCTGTGTGTAGCTTTTTGAAATCCTGCACCTCTGTGATAGAAACCTAAAAGATGGAGCCACGATAGTTTCACATTAACTGGTTAGACAGCTGGCTCAAGACAGGAAAACCTGAAAATTAGCTTGAACTTCTTTGCCACAAGAATGTGTACAGAAATGGATACAGCCAAACAGATAGTGGAGGAATGACATTCTAGTAACCACCAAGTAGCCAGATGGTAATATAATCACTCTACTTCCCAAAACACACAAATATGTACAGTTCCAGTTCTGCACAGATAGAAGGGTTCCACCATAGCCCTTACAGACTACCTCTTACCCTGTGCACTCTTCTCCACGAAGTTCTCAGGACTGCTCTGGACTGCAGTGCTTACAGCAGCTTGCTGAGTGACAGAAGTCCCTGGAAGCTGCTGGATAGCTGCAGTGGACTGAGCAGCATGTTTGGAAGGAGATTTTTGATTTGCTACTGTAGGCTTGCTAGATGAGTAGAAGGAACTCAGAGTCTGTGGTTTGTGAGTTTGACTCTCTCTGTCCAGGAGTTTGTCTAAAATCTTTAACAGCAAGGAAAAAGGGAGGGAAAAAACAAACAAACAAACAAAACAACAAAAAAAAAGAGGTTGGCAGAAGGGTAAAAGAACAGGTATTACACTAAGACATAGCAGAAAAGTACTAAATCAGCTTCCTGGTGGACAACAAATTCCATTTGTTGGAGAGAAAAAAAGAAAATGCTTATTCTCTAGAAAGCTATAGGCATTATCTTCCTGCACTGAAGATCAGCAATGCACAGCTGAGAGCTATGCAGTCTGTATTACTGAGGAAACAAAGATTCATTCATACTCAATAATATCTCCATTTTCACTTCAAATAGCCACTGACTTACTTGACAAGCACCCAGCACTCACAATAAAGTAATTCTGGAACATCAAGGACAGAATGAAGGACTCTATATTTAGTTCTGCCAGTCATTAGATGTTGTTTAAGTCACCAAAAGTCTGCACTCACCATTCAAAAAATCCTGTCATACTCTTACTAAGAAACTGGCAAAGCCACTAGAGAAACTGCATTCTACCAGCCTACAATAACATTTTCTTGTCCTTATTTAGGTGATTGGGTAACAATGCATGACCACATTTTATGGGTCTGTCCATTTCTACTGTTCATTCTCTACACAAAAGTCACACCATGTGTGATTTGCAGATGACTGATATCACAGTGACCCTGTTATTCCCTAGAGAAGAGTATAGCAGAAGTGCTTCTCCTTTAGGAGACAGAAAGTCATTTAATAATATTCTTGCTGGGTAGGAGGGTTTCTAAATATAAAAAAAAAAAAATAAAAACCTTTCTGAAGCTTCAGCAGTTTTTGATATTTTTTGCCTCCTTTGGGGTGGAGTGGCAGTTTTACTATCTTGCATGGGAAATTAAGGCACAGGTGGACTGAACTAGTATAGCAAAGAGGTGAGAGGTTAAGTAACAAAGACTTTGCTAGGTATGCTGTTCTGCAAGCCAACATCCCTACAGCAAAACAGAATCAATCCCCAGACCACACACAATGTGCACACTGAAAACCCCCAAGACAAAGGACCTGAAGGTAAGCAAAAGCATTAAAAGCAGTGAGAAAGCATCTTCAGATTGGACCTTAAGAAACCTATGGGAAGAGTGCCTCTTCCATGACAATGCACACTGCACAATCAGATTTTGCATCAGTGGAAGAGTATAAATACCACAACATAGCTTGTAAATCATCAGTACATGACACAGCAACTTATGCTCACTGGCAATACTATCAAATCCATCAAAACCCAAACATGGTTTGTACTGCATCTCCCTCTCCACTTTTAAAGGAAAACTCACCTTCTTCAGCTTAGACTGATCATCCTTGTAAGTAATCATCAGGGCTAGCGCCAGATCCCCTTTCTCCCTTCGGGTGCCTTCACACAACAGAGGATGTTCTGCTTCACTGACAGTTGTTTTCATACCTGCAGGCCAGAAAAGAGAGGATGAAGAGACAAGTGAGCACATGGGATTATGCCACATCCTGAGAAGTACCTATACCTCATTTATTCACTCCACTGTCACAGGCAAAAGAAGACTTCCCACCCCCACCAATTTTTCTGTTCAGAAATTCAGAAATAGGTCATGAATAAACAGAACCTACTGTCTGTCCCCAGAATACTAAGCTCACTATGTCAGAATAACTAGATCCTAAGACACTATAGGAAGAGAATCCAGACAAGCCCACAACTCCATACTGAAACAAACTTTTCCAGTTTCTGCAGGTGCTACAAACCAGCATTCCCACCTCATAAAGAACTCATCTTCCTCTTTTCAGAGATGAGGCAACAGAGAACAGGCCTTGTTTAAACCATTCTATTCGGTTTTGTATGCTGCTTTAAAACAGGCGTACGATACTGTCAACATAATATATATAATCACTGCTTTGTTGCTGAAGCTGATAAATGAGGCAAGATTATGCTTAGATCTTGAATTATATAATAATGCTTGAGAGTACTTCTGCTAGTCTTTCACTATCATTGTCTAACCTCTTCCGAAATGATTGCCTTTTGTTCTCTGGAACTGTCCATCTCCATTAAAGTCCAGGCAATACATCTTCCACAACAAGAGCAAAAAGAAAGCTAAAATTCATGTTATTACTTTAGCATTCAGCTCCTGTCCCGTATCCCCCTTCTATTTTTCACAGCTTTGCAAAGGCACCTCAACCCTGGCATGAAGAATCCTTCTGCATCTGATTCTGACAAACCATGCAAATACTTTCATTTCTGCATCAAACTGGAATGAACTACTAACTCCCACTATCCAAAATGAAGCAGGATGCAGAACATGGATGAATAAAGACTTTTCTTGGAAAAGATTCTTACCAAGAGCAGCAACAGCTGCCTCAAAACCAAGCTCTTCATCACCAGGCATTTCATTATTCCAATTACGGCTTGGGGGTCTAGAGCCTGTAGGAGAAACCACTGAAAGACAGCAATAGAATTAGTGCTCAGCTTTCAAAACCAGGACCTCAATGCAAAAGCCATTTCTGAGATCTTTCTGAATTTATAGAGCTTCCTGTGGTCCTATTCATAGCCTTGTACCAGTTTCAAGACCACAGCACTCTCTTGGTTTTCTTTTTCCCCTTTCTCTCTCTAAACTCAGAAGGGTCCAAACCAGGCAGGTACACTGTCAAGTCAGACTTCTAATTCCAGGTTCCTGTGTTCTTTTTTAAATACTACATTTATATTAGCTTATTCTGAATATAACCAGCATAAGAGTAGAAAAGTCAGTCATTTATAATTATTTTACAAATACAGAGTGTTGAAATGTGGTAAGTTTCCAGTTGTTTTCAAATGTAAGCAGAAGGAGAGACAGTTCTACTGGGGTACAAAGTGCCTCTAAAGCAACATGGAGGGAAGCGCAAGCAACTGTGTGTGAAGAATCAAGATTACGATCTTCTTATACAGAAGACAGTTTCTCTTTGAAAACCCCTCAAGACCTGGCATCTCAGAACATGCCCTTCACACACTCAAACCAAATACAGACACTACCTGGAGTGCACAGGACATCAAATATAAAGCTAGCCAACATCAGAGGCAGGACAGGACGGTAATCACACAGTGTCCCTTCTCGCAGTTCTTCAGCTCTTCCTCGAATAGTGTTCATCTCATTAGTGCCCAAGGGAATCTTCTTCAAGAGGGCAACAATCTCAGACTCCTGATATGCCAGCTTCACCTGGTAGTATCCACAAGGAAACAAGAAGCTGCCATCAGCACAGGCCCTGTGGGCAGTGGACCATTTCTCCCTATACATAAAGTACAGTGACAGTTTTCATTGGATCATTAAATAATAGCAACTCTTACCACCCTAGCCACCTTTACCATTCTCTCCACACTGAACACAGGTTTGCAAATCTAATACAAGTCTCGTCTCATTTATACAATTTTTTAAAATTCAAATTATCACTTGAACTGCATACAGAAAAACATACATCAGCTTTCATAAGAACATCAGAAGTGTTTGAGTGGGTAAGTCAGTGGAAAAGGTGATTACTCTTAATTGTAGGAAAAAGGATGCTATGTTAAGTAATATACTCATTCGAGACAGAGAGAGACTAACTAGCAGAAGAATGGGCACCGGGTGGCAGCACGCATGTCAACGGGATGAAGACTGTTAGATTTCACTACTGTGTGCTATTCCTGCATTCTCTCCATTCTTAACATGGGAAAGTTGTTTTCTTTTTAGGTAGCAAGTGACTGCCAATCTTACAGTCTACTACTAATCAGACGGTAAGAAGTACCAATAATTAGTGTAACAAGTGTAGTTGGTGGATACCTAGCAACAATACAGACCTCCAGGGACTACACAACCTGTAGTGAAAAGCAAGGCCGCTGCAAATCACACAGACGAGGTCTTAATTGGACACTTCTTTTTTTAAACAGGAAGCCTAATAGTAATCAACCTGTGTCCAAAATAATATGCCTCCACAGTGCATATGTTCACTTGCCAATGAATGAGGTATCAGAAAGAGCAACAGTTTTTCAAACATGTAACAATTGCACCAATTCACCCCAAGGAATGAGTTTCAAAGCATTTCACCAATGCAAATATGGACAATTCCATTTACAAATGGCTTTATTTTCCTCAGATTACCCAAGTAAACGGGAAACATATTTAAGATAAGTAGTAAACTGTTGTAATTGAAATAATATACTCATAAAAAGATTTTGTACTCATTTAAATATTTTCAAGCCTGTAGCTTCATGTGAAATCCAAGGCATATTGGCACATGAGGTCTGAGTTTCCTATTAGTGAAGGTAACTCCAGATGAAGTGATCTTTCTAATCATTTTTCTGGCAGATCAATGTGTGCTAACAGGATGTCCATTTAGTCCCACTGCAATCAATTTTAAGGAAACATAAAAGCATAACCAAACTTCAGGAATTGAAACAGAAACCACATGAGCAAAAAGCATCCAAGCAGAACAATGTTGCTTATGGACACTGGCTTTTTGAGGTGTTTCATACCTCCAGAGCCTTTGTGGAGGCAGGGGGTCTCTGCAGCTCCAGAGCAAACATTCCTATTCGAAAGGCCAGGTTGTGGTACTCCAGCCGCTCACTCAATACAGTCAGCAAGAAAGCCGCTTTAGACAAGGTGTTGGTTGCCATCCATGTCTGCTTGCTGGTTGATACCTTGTTCTTTTTGCCCTGTTTGAGGAGGAATTTGTCACAGGACACTTTCCTAAACATCCTAAATGATTCTATGCTTCTCCTACCCTATGCAAATAATTAGTACACAGGAGGAAGAACAAAACATGTTTAAGTTTTATTCCCTGTGCTGAGGAATAACAAACGCCAGCAGTTACTGATGAACATCATTACTTCCCCTATCTCACGCCAGCACAACACAGTGGAAGAGCTGGCCCACTGATAAGACATATGTCCACTATTGGACTGATGCTGTGCAGGCAGATGTTGCATGCCTGTTCCTTCCAGGGGAACCTTTTCATAAAACACACACTGCTTAGTACCACTACAACTAATTTTCCCTAAGTTTATGCTTATTTATTTCTTCTTCAACCCAACAACAAAACTTCTAACATCTCCAGTGGTGCACATTATGAAATAGGAGACTAAGGTTTTGGAAAGACTCACAAGAAACAGTGTCACCTGCACAGAGCTGCACAAAAATCAGGACTTCTTATGGCTGCTGCATAATCTTATAGCGCACAGTAGCAGGTACCTCTTTCTTAAACAAAACATCCTTTGAAGCTGATGTTAAATAGGGTGTTCTGTTCAAATGACTTAAAATATAGTCTTAAAGGACCTGCAGCTTTTAACAGACAAACCAAGCTTCTCTCTGAAGCATAAGGAAAAGTGAAGAAGCTTTTAACTAAATTCAAGTTTCTGAAGATTTAAGTCCTGCTGAATAGCCTCTTATTTTCTTTCCCCCTTTTATGCACCCCCAGACACACAGTGATCAAGCACGTTAATGACATCCAGAGAAGTTCAACCCAAAGGAAGCATCAGTGAAGGGCCCTAAATCACAGCAAATGAGAAATGCTTGAGAATGTCATTATATCCATCCCATATAATCTAACTTACCCTCTACCCACAAAACTAGACAAGCTCTCTCTCTACCTTAGTTGGTGGCTGCTCCACTTTGAGATCTGGAGGGTTGGCCAGTAGGTCCCTGGCAAGCTCTACAGTTAAGCGGCATGCTTCATTACTGTATCCATGTGCATACAGGGCCTCTGCACAAGCAAACAGGATCTGCAAGAAAGAACAGATGCGTCATATTCAAACCACACTCCCCCAGGCTAGAGCTAGCCTGCTCAAACCACTTGTCACGAACACTCTCCAAACACAATTCACAATTAACTTCAGCAGCAGGTGTTCTCAGAGTCCTCCTTGCCAGGACATTCACCACCATCCCTTCAAACACTGCCTTAAAAAGCCTGTTCTTCCATGATTAAGTTCCATTCTCCCTCCAAGTGCTATAAGAGATCAGAGAATAACTCAAAAAAACCCTAAAACCCAAACTGACTATAACTATTTCCAATGCATCTGCATTTCAGCTGCTTGCTCATACAGGTGAAGGCTCTAAATGTATTTTGAGGTTATTATAGGAACATGACACAGTCTATTTAGATTGCCTGTGGCTTTCCAGAGAATTTCTGCTTACATGGTTGGATCTAAATTTTTCCTGCTGGGCATGTCTCAGTCTTAGCCATTTTGAATTTCCGCTCAATTTTGCCATTTCCAAGAGTGAAACTAGGTAAAAAGTACACACTGTTTTGCCTACATTTGTAAATCTTGAAGCGTGAGGTGGGACCAGCTAAAACTGGGACACACTTGAAGTTAGCGCAGAAATAGGGAGTCAACCTTGTGAGAAAGAGACATGTGTGATACCACTGCACTAAGACTGTAGATACCTTATGATACATTGGGTTATGATTACATTATAATTAAACACTTAGCAACATACTAGGTTAAACATGACAGGTAGGAGGGTGGCAAGACCATGATGTATAGAATACCTAAGACTGCAAAACAGTGTTTTGAACTAGATTCAGCTCACCTCCATCTGGTTCTCCTGCTCCAGAGGCTTTATACCAGCAAATATATCCTGCTCCTCTTCATTTCCCCCTTCAGCTTTGTCATCATCTTCCTTGGCTACCTCTTGTGGATTCAGATAGTATACCTGGTAATCATCTTCCTCTTCTCCATCATCCCCTCCCCCTGCTGCACCATTCTCTCCCACTTCTTCTGGCTTCAGGCTCACACCACCGCTGTTCTCATCTGCAGAAGGCAGGTCGTCATCACCACTACCCATTTCCCCCACAGGATCCTTGGGTGATTTCTTGGCTATGGAACTGGTCCTGACACTGGGCTCAGGTCCCTCAGAGAAGTACACCCCAGCATCCTCCTCAAAGGTATCCCTGTAGCTCCTGCTCATTGGACTTTCTGTAAAACTAAATGTGTTGCTGGCTTCTGCCCCCAGAGCCAAGCTGCTGTCATCCAGGCTCATCTCTGCCAAGTCCGGCTCCAGAGAGCTGTCTTCACTGCTCATGCGACGTTTCCCACTATGTTTACTGGTCAAGCCTTTACTCACTGGCAACTTTGTTTTCCCCACTGCAGTCTTATACACAGCTTTATCACCTTCTGCTGAAAGTCGTCTCAGAACCCTCTGTGGTGTTTCAGAGACAACTTTACGCTTTCCAATAAGTTCCTTTGGACGAACTGCTGGCTCCTGGGGAGAGGGACGCAGCCTGTCCCCAGGCTGCAGACACGCTCCCCCAGGCTCCTGTCCATGGGTTCTACCAGACTCACAGGCAGTTTCTGCACACTGCAAGCGGCAGCTCCTCTGCTGGATGGCCTTTACCCAACAGAATGAGTTCTTCTTGTCAGTGCTGCTATATGTGATCCCAGGAATGGGATAAGCTTCCTCCCAGTTGAAGTAACAGGCTTCCACAGCTGGTTTGAAACCCTGGAAGAGCTTCTCCAGTGATTTCTTGTGCTGCCCCCTCTTAACATTATCTATGACTTTCAGCTGCCATTGTCTGAGCTGTGAGCAAAGGTCTCTGCGCCTAAGAGAAGAAGTAAGAGGACAGGTTAGAAAACAGACACAAAATGCACCTGTGACAAACTAACTCTTAACCCATAGAATACCTCCTCCTTTTGGCCAGAAACATCTTCTGCTGAATTAAGTATAGAGAGCATTAGTAAGAACACGGACTGAAAAAAAGAAACAGGTGTATTAACAACCAAGTTCTAGATAGACCCATGATACAGAAACAAAAAATGAACAGTACCAGCATGAAAGCATGATACAAACTGGGAGATTTAAAATTAAATACTGTCTGCTCTGTTTGCTAATCTGCCCCAAATAAGGTAATAGTGATGTGAGCCTCAGCAGTCCCAGACCAGCAAGTACCACAGGGAGATGCCCTTGGAAACATTCATAAAACAGTTTGCCGCAGCTGTGAAACAGCCCTGTGAACAACTTCAGCCAAGACATTTGCAAGTACAATCTAAACAGCCTAGCCAAAGAAGCACAGTGCCAGACAGGACCACCTAATCTACATCCCAGGCACTTACCTCTACCCTAATATGCCTATCTAGAGCCCAACAATTTAATTTAGGCTTTAGCAGGCTGTCCTCAGGAGTCTAAACTGTTGCAAGCTACAGGCTCAGAATAAGCAAGACGAAAGTAATTGATGTTCAAATAACTCTGAGTAAGAAGCAAGCTGGTAAGATTATACAGACTTAAATTACACAGCAGTTAGTTCCATGCCTCGTATTACCAGGGGAAGAACAAAGCATTTCTGTATTTCCCAGCTCCAAATCTCATGGAGGGCCTAAACACATATGAGCAGCAAGATAGTCTAAGCAGATTACACATTTGAGTGATCTAATTCAAGACGAGGAAAAGTCATTTCTAGAAACTGCACCAAGTGTGTCAATCAATTGCCATCTTTTTCTGCCACAGGTTTCAGAGATCAAAGTAAAAGCCCCACACTTCAATCCTCTCATATTTCCTATCAAAAGCAAAAGAACAAAAAAAATCAAATCAAAACAGGGTGACCCAATTTAGGTGAAAAGAGTATTAGGACAAAAAGGGCTCACCAAAATTACCTGCTTCTATTTGTCCACTAAAGAAATGAATTAACAATAGGACAGACTGGCAGGGATTAATCAAGGAGAGCATTTTCAGAAGGAAAAATAAGGAGGAACTACTCAGGAAAGGTAACATAAGGATGAGAGCCTGCAATGAATTAGGAATGAGGTAGCAAGTTTCCTTATGATTCATTGCAAAGAATAGCAAGGATGGGTGGAAGAGGGCTCTTCTTGGTGACTATTCAAACGCCAAGAGAATAGGTAATCAAGCAGGAGGATTTCAATTATGCATGAGCTCAAGTAAATCTGAGCAAATTTGAACTGTGCCAAATAACTCAAATGTGAACACACACAGCACAACTTCATACTTTATTAAAAGCCAAAACCTTTTATGTTTTTTCTATGTGATCCGATTGATGTTTGTGTTTATTTTAAGCTTCATTCCCAGCTTCCTACAGTTTTTGATTTGCCTTCATCTCCTATATTTAGCTACTTCATATTGTAAACTGTACAGAACAGAAACTGCATCTATTTTAAGTGTCCCTGATGTACCTTACGTAGATAGGGCATTTTATTAATGTTACACAACAGTTCACAGAAAGTAAATCCTGTTGATCTGTAATTGTATTGAAAATACCATCCTGTTTTCATTTGTTCTGAAAAAATCTGAGCATTTATAACTCATTAAGCTAATTCAGTATATTTTATACATCACACTTCGTAGACTTTGTAGAAACCAAATTATTACAGTGTCAACCACAGTATCTCAACATGAGCCTGCAGTATCTCCACTGCTATTCAGCCAGTGCTAAATAAAGATGGCGGTGATTCACTAAGATACAATATGGTTTAGAAACCTGCAAAAGCCTCACAATTTTTCCTAAGACAATTAAAAAGACTGACTGAAAATCATACACTGGTGACACAGTTTACCAATACGCTGCAGAGAATAAACTCCCTAACAGCATAAAAAGCAAGAAGTGCTTTATCTTGAAATAGACAACAGTGAATGATTGGGCTAAACAGAAACCCATTAAACTGAGGAATAGTTAAATTTAGGAAGCATTATAATTTATTGGTAGCTGGTGTTATCATTCAAAGAAATGCTCTCCACTGGGACACTAAAACGCAGAATTACACTCACATGTAAAAGAGAACTCTCAGAAAACAAATTATTCAGACTACATGATGTTGCTAAAAGTGAGCATCAATAGCAATTAAAGTTTAAAGTAATTATAGTGCTCTTGACTTACATAGCACATAGTCTAGAAGGACCAGTGGTCGAACAGGTAATGAGATAATAATGAAAACATAGAAAATACATAGGCAGAAGCCCTTGAGTGTGCTTGAATATCACAGAAATAAGAGACCGGATCTGATTCTGGTGCTCACCTCTGTGGACTAATAGTTGGGTCAAGGACAGCCAGCCTCCAAAGAACCACCATTTCATCACACATACTTGCACAAGCGTGAGCAGCTACTTCTGACTGGCCATTGCTGCGTCCTGTGTGCCCACTAGCACTGCTGTGTGATGCAGATGTTCGCACACTGTACCACCAGCCAGTTATCTGCAGAAGAAAATGTTCACTGGAGCTGTGTAGTGTCCACCATCTCATCCCTGCTCCCACTTAACCTCATAACCACAAGGAAACAGGATCTGCAGCTTATACCATGTTTTCATTTGATTCCAAAATAACTACAAGCATTAAAGCAATACTGGCTTGGGAGAACTAAGGGCCTCTCAAAATTTCTCTGGTTAGCAGGCATATGCGCACAGAACAAAACACTTACAGGAGGTTCTCTTACTAAAAGCCTTCACACTCAGAGGGATAAAGTGAACAAATTTTTGATAAATCAAGTATTTTGTTTCCCTTGTTCAAAGTTGAGGTGTGTGATAGATTAATAAGGAAACTTATACTGCAATTTACAGAGTGAGATCAGCATCCTCAACTGTCACAAGGAAACCTTTTCATATTATTTCTCAAATATGAGAAAATTTATTACTTAAACCCATCAAAATATATCTTCTACAAAAATAATAAAAGAATCTGAGATTCTAGCACCCAACACATATCTTTAGATTTTATACAAATGACAGGTCATATGTGATATACTTTGTTTAGAAAAAAGCTTTAAAATAAATTATCTTGACTGGGCAGAAATCAAATCAAACATGCTGAAAAGAGGACATCATCAGACCCCATATATTCATGTTAAAAGGACTGAGGTATTTTTGGGATAGTGTTACTGGGACACCACTAAATCAGCTATAACATCTTTTTAGCATGGAAAAGCATATGCCCATAATGCATACAGACTGTTAAAAAAAATATATTTATTCAGCCATGAATTTTACAGGTACATGGCACCAGTCACTGGTTCCCCAGAATTTCCACCCCCACAGTAAAGAGATTTGAATACCTGCTCATAGTTGAGACACTGGTCAGTCAGAATCTCCAGCAAAGGAGCTGCATTGCTATCCCGCCTCTTAAACATCTCTCGTACAATGGAAAGCAGGTTCCAGATTCCTTCAGGCTCTCTTCCTCGCAGGGGACGCAGGAGACAGGCCCACTCAGCAGCAGCTGGTGGCTCCGTGGAAGAAAGATACATTGAATTCACATCACTGTAGACAAAACAGAAGAGCAGGGATAAGAAAAAATTACATCAAGCATAGCAATACAAAATCCTAAGACTATTATACATTCATAAGTATATTTGCACCTTAAACTGGGCAGACATGCATAACCTAAAATAGAGGATGCATAATGAGACTGAGAACACCACACAGCAAGCTACTGTGCAAATACAGCGTGCTCTACTGAAATAACATCGGACAAGCTATGCAAAAATATAGTCCAGAAGAGTGACCATGAAACTAAGCATCCTTAAGTCCATGGCATCACATAAGGGAACAGGTTATACAGTGATGAGCTTACAGATTACATGAGTATGACATTTCCCCTTCAGTGGGAAACAGTTTACCTGAAAACAACAGGAGAGGGTCCACAGAATTTATGAAGGGTTTTCTTTATATTGTCACTCAGAGTAGATTCATCTAAGTACCAGGTGCTTTGATCTGATGCAGAGGGTCCAGCAGTAGGATCTTGACAAAAGAGTAACACATATACAGTCTGCAGGCTTTGAAAATATTTTCCTCTGTGTGCCCAACCGCAGAGATTATAAGGAGTACACAGCAAGTGTTACTCAGTTTATTTCACCTGTTGCAGAACTCACTGTTCAGAACTACCTTAAAATGCTACCATAACATTAACCATTGACAACACTAATTGGGAGACATGGCTGGCATGCTGAATGGTAGCACTACAACAGCAGGACCAGGAGAAATTCAAGGACTGTGCCAACAGAAACCTCAAGTTCATTGAGGAAAAATGTACACTTCTGTACCTGCGACAGAAAACCCCATACATCAGTACAGACTGAAAACCAAATGGCTGAGTAGCTGATAGGGTTTGGTGATTATGGTGGATGTAAAGCTTAACAGAAATCAATAGCAAACTTTCACTGAAAACACAAACCAAAACAACAACCTGCAAACTGGACTATATGAAGAAAAACACGGTTAGATTTAAGGAACTTATTTTATCTCACTCTACCTGGCACTGTGAAAATTACACCTGGAATACTGTATCCAGCTTTGGGTTCCCCAATCCAGAAATGATACTGCGAGACTAGAGAGGATATAGTGGAGGGGTATCAAGATACTTGGGGCACAAAACATGTGACCTGAGGTGAGATTGAGGAAGATGGGCTAATTTCATCTAAAAAGGAGAGGCTGAGGGGGTGATCATTAACAGCCTACAACAACTTGGAATCACAAACACAACGCAGACAAACTCGTCTTGGTAGTAGTAGATGATAAAAAAGGGTAATTCATACTGTACATAATGAAAACCAAAAGGATAATGCAGCACTAAAATAGGAATAGTCTGTAACATCTGTTAACCAAGACTAAGCTAGCCCAAATTTAGCTAACCCAATCCAGTGTTGCACACAGTCCTGTTTCAAGTAGGAGGTTGAAGACTTCCCCTCCAATCAATGTTTCCAGAAGTCTGTAATAAATACCAACTTAAAAAGAAAAATCTTTTGTTAGAAAGGTGTATTGCCTGATTCTCCCTTCTTCTGCATACACTCTGAGGGGTCCATTACACCAACAATTGCCTATTGCTGTGCCATATATACACGCAAGTGCCTGTACTTATCCCTTCTCCTTGACCTCCACCCTGCAATCCCAGTTACATGGTAACAGACCAGTTCAGAAACTCAAAGCAATGGAAATATATACACTTAGTATCTGTGACACAGATTACTAAAAAAAGATATATCAAGGTTACCTGGGGCTCCACACACCGTGTTGATGGCAGTAGACTGAGAAGATAACAGCTCATCCAGCAAGCGCTGAGCTGTTGGAAGAATCTGAAAACACGAAGCCAACTTTCAATATACACAGTATTTGTTAACCTGATATATCCAGCCAAAGATCTGCCTGGATTTTCAGGACTGAAGCACTCTCATATTTCTGAAGTATTAAATACACTGTCATGTTTTCAGAAAGGACGACAGAGGGTGCTAAAGATTATACAATAGCATGTCCGCCCTTACACTTTCTCCTCTCCTTTCTGAAAGCAAACCTATATGCAAGGCTTACTTCCTACATTAACACCCTAAGAAGTAAACAAAGGAATCATTGGTTATTGGTTCCTTTCTTATTTCTTGAGGAGTAGGAGCTAATTTTGAGAGATATGGAAGTGCCTGCAGTCAAGATCATAATTTTCCTGCACTTTGAGTGTTCTCTATTTCTTGTTCCTAAATCATTTCTCTAAAACCCAAGCTAATGGGAACAGAGGAGCAAACTATAAATTACATCTATGCGTAACTTTTGGGGCAGACTTTAGCTTATTTATGATCCTGTCAGCAAAGGGACCATCTATATATTAACTCAGACTCAATAGTAAACTAACGCAATTTCAGCACTAAACTAATGGCTTCTGGACAGTTCAGAGCATAAACAGAGAAGGCTCACACTTGACTGCAAAACCCTAAGTAGATATAGCCTTAATATGTTCTTTTTGAAAGAAAAATACAAAGTAGAAAGTCTGGGCTGAAACTGTAGATCGATTTAGCCTTTAGTATGCACACTTACAATAGGTTAGGCATACAGTTAGGATTGCAATGATTTGCAACAGAACATCTGATATCCCCCCACCTCTCTCCACACAACAGTTGAGGTTAAAGATCACATTTACTGTAAAGCAAGTCACATTCAATACACCTATAGTTGCAAATAATACAGATCTATCTCAAACAGAAAACCAATGCTTCAGAAGCATATTTTGCATTTCAGTCACCTGAAGAAACAAACTCAGCATTAAACTATTCTTGTACCTTTTTCCACTACTACTTATTTTAAGTGACCCCAAAGCAGGAAAGTCACAGGTCTAGGCAATGTCACACCTTGAGGTTGAAGTATAAGGGACCTGCAGTTACTCTCCTTCAGGCATTTTTGCCAAAATATTTAATTGGAATAGGAATACTGGCTTCATGAAGGGAAATAGCTCTTGGGAGAAGCACTGGGTAATAAATTCCAGCTGTTCAAGTTCACTGACATTTTCACAGATATAGAAAACACTTTCTACAGAGATTTTGAAAAACATCTTATCTAGCCACATTCCTACAGACCACCATATCCCTTGACACTTGAAAGTAATTCAGCATTATATTACTGTACCATAATTTCACAAGCTGGAAATATGGATAAAATAGAATCATGTGTACAGCCTACTCTATTCTACATCATGAAGTCAAAATATGGGGTCCCAAAGTATGAGAGTATCTCTCTCCACTCAAAAATCTTGAAGACCAGAAATGAAAATGTTGGAAGAGCTTTGGGCATGCCTTGCCTTTTTCAAGGGAATTACACAACACAGGTTAAGATGCATCCGCCAGTAAAACCCAAATTTTTCTGTTGGGCAGCATGCATCAGATTATCTGTCAAAATAGTAATAAATTAAATAATCCAGATGTTTCTGGGTGCATAGCTGATACACATGACCAAAGGAGAAATAAACCCTCCAAAAGGAGCAGACACATAATATTTGAAAGCAAACAACTCGCCATTCAGGAAACAACTACCACCACTGCTAGCCTTTCAAAACCCTCCTTTATTAAGCACCAGACTATGTGACATAAAGCTCCAAGTCCTTAAGGAAAGAGCAAAAGTTTTGTCGGTTATGTAATGCAGCAAGAAGCACAAACTATTGGTGCTGAACTCTCAGCAACAAAAAAGCAGTATTTTTATATCACTTTCATATTATATGATTCCTCTGTTTCCTCTTGTAAGAAGATTAGTATTTCTGTAGGAAACTCAGAGGATGTTTTAGCAATAGAATAGCTTAGTGTCCTAAGCACAGCACCATTAATATGAATTTTAGGCACATGCTGACAGCAATCTAACTTCTACTTAAGACATTAGGCACGCACTACCAAAATGTGACAGATACGCACGCAGGTCAGTTTTTCTCAACCTCCTTTGGTTGAATCAGCATAAAAAGGTTGCCAGGCCCCTTATATTTTTAAATTAAACGTTTGACAATCACTTCGGTATTCTTGTGTATTTTGTGCATTTTAGGCAGATGATATAAATGACCTGATCTTGAACACCACAGATATTTAAGGAATATGACAGTAGATTTTGCCTTTGACTAACAAAATTTCATGTCTATTACTTTCTATAACCCAAATGATTGTTATGAATCACCAAGAAGCTACACCGGGGGAAGTCAAAAGGTCACCAATGAGGGGTATTAGAAACTGTTCACCTAAGGCATACAACACATTCCCTGGGTAGTCTTTTCCACTTAACTAATCAAACACACAAAAAGGAAGCAACCTGATTTGTTCTGACCTAAGTTTTTCACCGTCATGTATTTATTTGTGTTTGATCTTCTGCAAGCTAAGCACATGTTCATGCTAATATGAATAGCCACCACTCCTTTTAAGACACTTCTTATCTTTTGTTTAGCAGTAGGTAATTGTCAAATAATAGAATGGCAAACCTTAAAAGAGCAAGAACCAAAAGTCTTCCCAGCAACTCACAACTGAATAGCATAACTGGTTATCTTGGAACAAAAGACATCATATAAATTGACCCAGGATAAAGATAACTGAATTTAACAAGAATCAGTCCTATTGATTGTCCCCATTTTACCTGTTGTGGAAGTTCACTGATTAGGTACTGAGCGAATTTTTGCAATTGGTCTCTTTGTAGCCGAGACAAGGACTCAGAAACAGGTGCTCGTAAGCATACCGCAGATGCCTGAAGAAAGAAAAGGAGATATAAACTGCCATTAACAGGTCAGATTTAGTGAAGCCGTGTCTACTGCATGGATGAAGTGTCATGAACAGGAGCTATGCTGATGCACATCATGCTTGGTCTTGATGGACAATTTTTTTTTTCTGTAATTATGTGGTGTGTTGCAGATAAGATGCAAATAAGCTGTCTAGGCTTTATAAAAACTGTTTTTAAGAGTTTCTTTTCAAGGAAACTGTTTTAACAGCTGTGCTTAAGATCTGTTGTTGCTAGCAATTGCACAAATACTGGCAGAGATTTCACAAACAAACCTCTAAAATAGGACATTATTCTTAAAGCTCTGGCAAACCAACCAGCTCTGTGGGAGACTGTTTCACAGAATCACAACCACTTCATTTATCTCATTAGAGGGTTTTTTTTCTTCAATCTTAAGATCAGTGTCCTTCCATATCTTAGAACAACTAAAATGATAAAAAACCCACCACTAGTTTCTTAACCTTTTTCACTCTACAGAACAAAAAATGCCCAAAAGGCATCTGCCTAAAATTTAACCTGGAAACAGGCAAGAGCAGTTTGATAATAAAGATGCTTCTGATATTGATTTGTCTACATACAGCAGTATTCCTTGCCTCAACATGCTAGTGTCAGCAGTCAGTATATACAAATCTGAAAACCCTTTCAGTATCATTTTTCTGGTAGAAGAAAGGATTTGAGGGAAAATAATTGTTTTTATCTTATGCAGGGTCCAAATCTTCTGAGTGTAAATAATATAAAAATGAAAATTTGTTTCCTACCCTCACCCTTCATACCCATCTTTTAAAACTAGAACTAATAATTCAAAGCAGAACCCGTTTTTTTTTCCAACTCTCCTGTCCTAAGTACAGAAAGTATACTGATATTCTCATGATTTCACAGGAGTATCCGTTTAAGCCTATTACAATTGTCCATTGTGAAATACTAAGAAGCTTCAGCAGGTTATTAGCACTTATTTAAGAATCTAGAGTCAATCATAAGCACGTTAGCTACAAAATGTTCTGTGACAGCAGAAAATCTTCTGCTCCTTTCCATCATCTGAGATTAATCCTTCCTTAAAATTATTTCTCAGCTTCCCAAAGACTGAGGAAATTAATCTGTATGCAAGACTGAACCCTCAACTTCTGTATTCCATGTTGATTCTATGCATTTTCACCTGGAGTTGGGATAAGAAACACCTACTTTTCACTCTATACAAGGCCACACAGAATACAAGCAGCCAAATAAACACATAAATTTAACTGTTTGAAATCTACATGTCAAAACGATGCTCACCTGACTTGGTATGTGTTAAAATGAAATGGTGGATGTAAAAGCCAATAGTGATCAAAATTACCTTTCTTCTGCACTCTGATCAAACAACCTAAAGAAAGAGCTTTCAAATCCCATATTTACAAAGACTTTTAATAAAATACTAACTATTGGTGATATTTCACTCCTTGCAGAACTAAAGAAAGAGTAATTCTAGCATTTAAATGAGAAACAGGAAGAGGCCAAAAAGGACTCTGTATCTACCCTTAGCAATTTGCACATTATCAAAGGACATTCTGCAGTTTAGAGCCTCAGACAATTCACTTTGCAGACTACAACTGTGAGTGTACATTTGCACAATCTGTAACCAAAAGGAGTGCCAAGAACAATTTCCCTAAAGAGAGTGTGTATTGCATAAAACTGTAATTAGGAGAGACTCAGAGAAGATGCCTAGGGGAGAGCAGAACTGTATTCAAAGGCCTACGTTGTGTATCCGGAAGAGGCAGAGTGCCACGACGTGAGCACACCACTTGGCTCCAGCTCCACAGGTACAGCTGCATGATGTGATCCTGCATCGGTCGAACATCACTGCCACATTGTATGCACCTTTGGGTGGCACCATCTGTGGGGGTACCACAGTAGCACTCAGATGGAAACCTGTTAAAATCCAGAAGTCCAAAGTTACTCTTCTGGTGCTTGGGAGACAGATTCAGCTAGCATAGAAATTTAGTTATGTGCCACTTAAACAGCAAACCAACATGTCTAGCAACAACATCCATATAGGGATGGACATGGATCTAGAGTCTCCAGCACTTGTTTCTTCCCAATCATCTACAGCAGAATATTAGCAGAGAGGCATAATATGTTATAAGAGGTTCTAAAATACTTTGAATACATTGATTTATTTATATATTTATTTATATTAGTATCTAACAAAGAAAAGCAGAACTGGATAAAGCCATCACTGAAAAGTGTGGGGTTTTGATCACAGGGTCAAAGCTAGACTATACATATTTTAGGCATAATTTCTATAATTAACTCACTTTGTGGCTTCAGAAGCTACCCATTTCTCATAAATTACCCACTTCCTTGCAATTCTGTGAATATCCCATCTTTATAAACCATGTACTCAGAAAACAAAAACCCCCTTGCTTAAAGCAAAATCAATGGAAAAGGGAAATTTCAGCAATAACACCTGAATGAATTCAGACCCATTAACCTGTGATCAAACAAATAAATTATGAATCTCATCTCAGGCAGGATGACAAAGAACTTTAATGAGTCTTGGCTTCATGTAAACTCATGTACAATACATACCAGTTGTACTCAGAATGCAGCTTCCTCTACACATAATGGTTATCCAGAGGCACACACATTACAAGCAGCAAAAGGCCATCAGGAGCATGAATCTTCTACCTGTCTTGAAGGTCCCTATCATCAGTTAATCATTCTCTTCAGTAATGACTATCAGCCTCAGAACCTCTCTGCTAGTCTCAAATTCAGTTTTAATGAAGCATAGAAAGCACCAAGGGTATCCAAGCCATAACCAAAATTCAGTCCAACAGTCTACATTGAGTGAAAAAAACATGGCTTGGGTCAGATGATTGAAATAGTTTATCTATCATCAGAACAGGGAAGTACATTATAAATCCACACTATTAAGTTTTTATTACAATATTGTGATATTATAATACTGATGGTGTTCAGGAGTACATATGACCTACTAAATGCCATTTAAAAGAATGTGCACTATTTCTTCCTCACAATATAATCTCCATGCCAATACAAGCTTGCTCTTACCTTGCTTAACCTTCCTACTTCTCCTGTTCACCAGAATTCAAATCCTCTTCCTGATGTGGGTGATTATTTTGATTAGTACACATAATGCCACCCAAATTCTTCAGCCATTTTAGCAATTGGAACAGAATCAAAACAAAAGAAGGCATTCACACAAAATTACTGCACTGCTTATTACTAGCTACGGTTCTAATTTATGTTCCATACTTGGATAATACAACCCAAACAGTTCAGCTAGTCCTTCTGTTATACTAGAAGCATCTCAGACTAATGCCAAAATGCCCTAATTTTCACAAAAGCAAATTAAGCATTTCAAAAATTGGAACTGCAGCAGTTCTGTTTCACAGAGAAAAAGTAGTTTTTGAAAGGTGTTAGAGAAGAATGTGTCACAGCTATACACTCTTATCATACTCCTACCATAAAATTTGTATATGAAGACAGTTAACTGATTAACTGCAAAGAGGGAAGAACAATTATTAAAAAAAAGACAAAGAAAAATTAAGAGCTTCAGCATGACATATCACAAGCTTTGACTCAAACTGTAGCTTGATGAACTGGTCTGACACTGACACTGCTAAATCAAGCAGCTCTGCCCAATTCTTTTGCACCTTGCTGTACTGAACAACTGTTTGTGAGATGGCACAGGAACCATACCAGGAAAAACTCTGGATTGAAATAATGGTTACTTTTACCAGGAAAAATACCACAGTTCAGTTCACTGCACAGCTTACAAAAGTCCGAGCCTGCAGGGACTGAAAAACATGAGTATCAGGGGACCATTCTGGACTTAGCCCAACACTACTGTTTAAAGAAATGGTCATCAAATTGTACTTGTTCACAGTCAAAGTGCAACTATTGTCTTCTCCTGCAGACCACAGCTCTTACCCTCCTGCTTAAATGTAAAGATAAGAATCACATCTATTACACACCTGAGTGACCTGCCCACCTTGTGGAGACCACAAGAACATTCATCCCTCCCATCCACCCTCTGATCCCACTACCTGATAACAGCTTATTTACTCCATGCATAATAGTACATTACCAAAATATGTCTGCACATACCAGCAGCATTCACTCTGCAACTGCTTGTAGCCCACCAGAAAAAAAAACTAAAATCGATACCCTATTCTTGGCAAGCTTCATTCCCAGGAGACATTGAGAATGTGCTGCAGGCCAAAGAAATTGTTCTGCCAGTAGTCTCACCCCCCTGGCAGCCATTTTTTCTTAAATGCACTGTGGGTGCAGAGCAAGCTTAGTGCTTCTGTGAAAACACTTAGGCTTTCTACACAGAAAGTGCATCTTACACTTCTTCTGAGACCTGATTTACTACTCATGCACAGAACAAATACATCAAGCAGCCAGAACCAATGCTTCAGAGGATGTGTCAGGTACATGCACTGAACAACATGCTCACTATGCACAGAGAGTACCAGGAGTGATCTACTGCACCCATAAAGAAGGTTTTATCACACAGTGAAGAAGGGGTAGCAGCACACTGTCCTCCCTCATACTCAATTAAGACACATGGTTTGATCAAATGTAAAAGCTGGAAATAATCAACTGCTGCCTAGACTAGGTCCTACAAAATAGAGAGGGCTTCTTTTTTAGTCTTTAACCTATCCTTCTCACTGCTCTACCCTTGAAACTTCAGGAAAAGTATCCAAAAGAAATGTATGCTTCCCACTGGTTAAAATCCAGCTCTCAGAATTTTAGGATACCTACACCAATGTCTTTTGCATTTAATATTTATTTTATCATTTATTGTGAAATTTTGGGTTTGTTTATTCATTTTTCTGAGGTCCTATTAGTCCTCCTGATTTCGGGTGGAAATGCAGAAATCCGAAGTATCCCAAGATACTCAGTAAGCAACCGGAACAAAAAGATTTACATGACCTAGGAGTTAACAACATCCTGCTAGGAATACTTCTTGCAATGTATGTTCCAAGCTTTCTTCATTGATATTTGGTAGTTCTGATGCACCTATAACAATGACAGAAAACAGACCTCAGCACAGAATTTAAGAACTTTTTCTCTGTGTTTCCCAGCACTAATAGAAATGGGAAAACAAGAGCTGAACAAAAGCTTTTAGACAGGAAGCAATGTAATTTTGGACATTTGATTGTTTTAAACCAAGATAGGAGAATCTCTAAGAAGTGGAGACTCAGAGATACTATTCGAAGAGATGCAAAGTTACGATTCAGACTGAGCCTGCTGCTGCCTTCCTCAATTGTTAAAAAGAAATTAAGACTATGATAGAAAAAAAGTCCCTGAAATCAGGAACTACAACACACTTATTTCACAGAATCATAGAGCAGTTTGGGTTGGAAGTGACCTTCAGAGATCATCTTGTCCAAATACCCAGCAATAAGCAGGGACATCTTCAACTAGATTAGGCTGCCCAGAGCCCTGTCAAACCTGACCTTGAACATTTCCAGGGATGGGGCATCTACAACCTCTCTGGGCATCCTGTTACAGTATTTCACCACCCTCATCATAACAAATTTCTTCCTTCTATGTAGTCTGAATCTACCCTCTTTTAATTTAAAAACCCTTGCCCTACCACAACAGGCCCTGCTAAAATGTTTGTCTCCATCTTTCTTATAAACCCCCTTTAAGTACTGAAAGGCAGCAGTAAGGTCTCCCTGGAGCCTTCTCTTCCCCAAGTCAAATAACCCCAACTCTCTCAGCCTTTCTTCACATTAGAGGTGTTCCATCCCTCTGATCATTTCTGTGGTCTCTGGACCTGCTCCAACAGGTCCATATCTTTCCTGGGCTGAGGGCTCCAAAGCTGGACACAGCACTCCATGTGGGGTCTTACCAGAGCAGAGGGGGAGAGAGAATCTGCTTCCTTGACCTGCTGGACACACTTCTCTTGATGCAGCTCAGGATATGGTTGACTTTCTGGGCTGTGAGTGCACACTGTCAGCTCATGTCCAGCTTTTCATCTACCAGTACCTCCAAGTCCTTCTCAGCAGAGCTGCTCTCAATCCCTTCATTCTCCAGCCTGCATTGATACTGGGAGTTGCATTTACCCATGTTGTTGAACTTCATGAGGCTTACACGGGCCCACTTCTCAAACTTGTCCAGGTCCTCCTGCATGGCATCCCTTCCCTCACACGTCAACCACACCACTCCAGTTGATGTTGTCTGCAAACTTGCTAAGAGTGCACTCAATCCCACTGCCTAAGTCACTGATGAAGATGTTAAACAGTACTGGTCCCAGTACAGACCCCTGAGGGACACCACTTGTCAATGATCTCCATCTGGACATTGAGCTGTTGACCACTACCCTCTGGATGCGACTCTCCAACCAATTCCTCATCCACCAAACAGTTCATCCATCAAATCCATCTCTCTCCAATTTAGAGAGAAGGATGTAAGTGGGGGATTGTGTCAAATGCCTCACAGAAGTCCAGATAGACAACACAATGTAGCCACTCCATCATAGAAGGCCACTAGGTTGGTCAGGAAGGACTTGCCCTTGATGAAGCCATGTGGCTGTCTGTTATGGATGCTCTCAAATAAACAACCGACCACCAAAAAAAAAAAATAATTATTAACACAATTAAATAGTTCTCCATAAATTATAGGTTCAGATGTCTTCAGAGGAAGACCGCACAGATTTCCAAGGTTCAGCTCCAGCTGCACCTTGGCCTTCCTGACCCCATTCCTACACCACCAGGCAGTGCCCCTATACTCTCCCCAGGATAACTGTTCCTGCTTCCACTATCTTTGCATTTCCTTCTTGCCCTTTAGTTTGACCAGCAGGTCTCAACTCATCCATGCTAGTCTCTTGCCTTCCTTTCGTAATTTCTTACACATGGGGGTTAAGAGCTCTTGTATGAAAAGAGTCCTTACAGATCTGCAAGCTATGTTCTGCTCCCTTGTCCCTGAGGCAGTTTCCCAGGGGGTCCTATTGACTAATTCCTTGAAGAGCTGGAAATTTTGCTTCCCTAAAATTCAGGGTCCTGACTCTACTCTTCAACTGACCCATATCACTTAGGACTGTGAACTCCACCAGTGCATCATCACTGCAGCCCAGGCTGCCTTCAATCTTGACATCACTGATTAGCTCATTTGCACTGGTGACCAACAGGTTCAGTATTGCATCCCCTGTGGTTGGGCTATTACCTGGCTTAAGAAGTTATCTTCAATTTAAAAACAGCAATAATGTCTTCAGTGCAAGGAGGTGGGTAATGACTGCTACAAGGGGAATGTGCAGGCGAAGGTCTATAAAAGCCAATTCTTTGTGTATATACAGCAGAACACAGTAAAAAACGTGGGGGTTTGGAATGTGGTGATGAGGTGCTGTTGTTCAGAAATTATGGATATGGATTTGCATGTGGGCAAGATGACTAAAATTACTCACGTTTAAAGAAAACCAATCTTATACTGCAAAGGGAAATAGGACAAAAAGAGCACAAAGCACATTTCAAGCTTTGTCCTATTGATCACAATATCATAATGCACTGCCCAATACCCCTCCAAATCAAACCCTCTCTCAAGGGCCGCTTCATATCCTACGTTTCTTTTCCCATTTGTCATTATATGAAATTCAAGTCTGCAACCACAAATCTTAAAATCATTTGAAGTAGACAACTGAAATTATATCCACCCCACCTGTACTGCCCAGCTTCCGGACTGCTACACATGGAAAAAAAAAAAATTAAAATCCCTCCATTAGATAAAGTTCCCCTAATAAGGAGGAACCAACATCACTGTTTACACAAAGTTACTTCCTTCCCTTCCACACACGTAATCCTTTGTTAAGAAGCCCAGCTGCTGTAGTTCCTCCCTTGTATCATTCACCACCTCCTCTTTTTCCCTACTCCTCTCCTCCTCCTCCAAGCACAGGTTTTGCACTAATATTCCCAGCCTCTGTTCAATTACATTGCTTTACACCTCCTTGCCTTTTTAATTACTGAAAAAGTTTTGTCCACAGTCTTAGCACTGTATGTTCAATATTCTGCTCTTTCCCATTGTGAAAGTCCCAGGGATTACTGAATTTCAGCCAGTGGCATTTTAACTCATTTTGTCTCTCAAACATTTGCCTTCCTGAAGTTCAGTAGACACCTTAGAGGCCTCTCAGCATTTCAGTCCTGACATCAGGAGCTTATGAATACACTCAAAAGTTAGTTTAATCCTATTTAGCTCAATTTCATTGATGTTCCAAAATTACTATCTAGTCTCACTGACAACTCAATATACCTTATGTATGAGGAAGTGCTTCACTTCCATTCCCAAGAATTCTTGCTATTGTTATTACAGTAGACAATAGACTAGGTAAAAGCTTTACCCTATATTCAGATAACAGTTCATCAGCCTCTTGCAATTTGCGTATCCCAATTACTATCTCCTCCTCTTTTTGTTCTCCCCAAATTTTTACAGTGCAAGTCCCTTTTATTCCCTTTTTGAGGGTCCTTTACCTAAATTTATTCATTCCACCGATCACAGAGTTAAGTATTATTGGTACTAGCAACGAAGCAGGCCCATAGAAGTCTCTATCCCTTATCACAGGAAAATACTTTCCTCCTTAATATTATACAGCTTTTTATATTATTATTTTTCTCATTACAACAAGGCTCAGTTCTCACATGCCAATTCTAATTCTGAAGCTTATACTTGCAGGAAAAAAAAAAAATCTGCATTGGATCGACATGGCCCACCTTGACACGCCAGTGTCTCTATTTCATATAATGCCTCCCTGTCTTAACAGCTGTCAGTGGAAAAGCCAGCTCAATATTCTTCTTTACTTCAAGGTTTTAATGAAAATACCAGAGTCCAATTCTTTGTTTAAGATTGGTTTCTATAGCCACAAAACATAAAAGAACAAGATAAGTGAGAAAAAGTGATAAAACCCACTGTCCAGCAACAGGGTTTTCCTTCTGCCAAAATACTGTATGACTAACTATACTATTAATACAGTTCTTTCGCTACAAGAATAATTAAACCTTGCAAATTTCCTCTGTGCCATACATGCACTTTAGACAAGGTATTCACATGATCAGACCACTAGAAAACCAAGTTGTCTTTATCAATGAGGAATTTAAGCATTATGAAGGCAAAGGCATTCTAGATGTTTTTTTCAAAAATGCTGAGACAGATTAAGGATCTAATTTTCAGAACCTTTCTGGCTTTTCACTCAGCTGATGGAGGCCGAAATAAACATAGTATTTAGCTCAAGGCATTACAAAGAATACATGTGGCCAGGAGTTTAGTCTAGGATGCCAGGAAAACACATTTTGAAACATGGTCATACCTGGTGCTGTTGCATTTCAGGCATGGTTTTGGGAATCTGAAATACCTAGAGACATTGAGCTGCAATGTTCTTACCTATCTGGAGAGGGTCTTTGACAGCCCTCACCCGGAACAGCTGCTCCCCTCGCTGGAACTCATCTGCACTGCCATTTGCCAAACACGAGTACAATCTGCAAGAGATACACATAGCATGTCAAGATCAACCTGTTTTTAAGAAACTTCACAGTATTATCCTCTTGCATTCTTTGTTGACATGGGTTTTGAAAAATCCTTACTATCTTCACCTTTAAGCTGAAGTCCGTCTCTTTTCTGCTATTTCTCCATTACAGTTCAACCATAAAAATCTTTAGTCTTTTCCTATCTGGGTTTGTGTATAGCCATGGGTAGTTCTAGGAATTTCAACCTAAGGCTCTGAAATACATTCATAGCCTAAAATTAAGCTTTTATATACAGTGTAATATCAATTCAAGGTCCAATGTTAGCATTCCACAGTAAAAACTCCTTGTACTAATTCACACCTGTGCACATCAGAATAATGAACATAGAGCAAGCCAGCTGGTTGTACATTTCCCCACAGGTGATCTTATGGACTACATCAGCACTTCTAACATTACCTCCCCCATCTGATACAAGATCATTAGATGAACACATCTAAGAACTTTCAGGATGATTTTTTTCTAAAAGAGTGTAATATCGCTACTTTGCAACAAAATTCTGAATGCACAGTTACATGGGTAGGCCTCCTATAGTATAAAAGCTTCAGCAAAAATACTTCAGTAAAAGATCGAAAACCACGGAGTTTTTGACTACATACACAATATATGTGGAAACATAAGAAATACAGTCATCTGTATCCACTCTGATCACTGACGTACTCAGCAGATTCTGATTCTCCTACTTACACCAACAAAAGGCTTGCACAGCATACCAACCCATCCCTCCCCGGCAATTTCCCAACGCAGTTAAAGCTCTGACTCAAGCAACAGATTCAAACTGACAACAGTATTACGTAAGACTAACACAGGGACAAAACTCTACAAACTAGCTACTGTCAAGCAAATTAAAGGGTGCATTTATTCTGTTATCATTTACACACGTCCTGAGTTGCAGTGTATTCTATTACCATCCTCATGAGCTGTGGAAATCAGGTGGGGCAGTGTTTCCTTGTTTCCCCCCCCCCCCCTCCAGACTATCTTTCTGTTAATGGCCCATCAATGCCATACAGCATGACTCATTATCCCATTGTGAGATGCTCCACCCAGAGGGAGAAACCCAGCATTCCATCCTGGATATAACCTGAGATTCTGAATACCAGAGGCCTCTCTTTTCCACTGGATTTCCAGAGGACAGGAGCTGCTTAGCCACTACTGGACTTTTCTGAGGAAGAGCAGATCATGTTTTTTTTTTCCTCTACGGGATCACTGCTTCGGGGGGACTGCAGCCACCACTCTACCAGACTGCTACCACCACCCTGATTAACAGGGTGTCAGGTTGTATCCTGACTCTGTTAGTTTAACCCACTGTTATCTGCCTTTATAAATTTTTTTTTTCTTATTAAATTGTTATTCTGACTTGGTGTCTCCCACTAGTTTGTTTTCAAACTAGCACAACACAGAACCTGCAAGTGTACAGCTCACCCCAAAATAAAAACCCATATCATAGCATATCCCACAGTAACCCATCCATGTATTACAAAATGCATGAGAACAGCAGAAGCAGCAAACATATGGACATCAAATGGACAATCATTCTCCTCTAGTGAACAGAACTTTTCCTTAAGCATCAGTGAAACAGAACTAGTATTCATTACCTGATATCTTCCTCATTTTCTGGGAAACTCCAGAAGGCGATTCGAAGCTGCAGTTGCTCAGGCACTGGAGGATAAACTTTCTCCACCACCTCGAACGGAATGTGAAATGCAACCTGTTTTGCAGACAGTTCCACCAATGGGATCACCAACCCATCTAGCAAAACAAGATACAAAATGCAATTAGCCATTCAGAGAACAAAACACATGAGAGGTTAAAGAGATCAGAGCAGGGAGCTCTTCTACCTCCTCTCTTATCTCACCAAGTTCAAGGACCAATTTTGACAGACAGTAAAAGGCAGCACAGAAATTTTCTAAAGAATTGCCTGCAAACTTCATGTTTGTTTTCAGACGCCTAGGGCATGGGTACACATTCCTAAAGAAAAACAATCCTTTGTCAGGAGAGCTATATTAGCCTAGCAGACATCAGTGACTCAAACTTTGTTTCCTGACAAACTGAAGCCATTTAGCAAGGCTTAAGGTAACCAAATATTTTTCCCACATTTCTAGTAGAACATGGCACCAACATCCTGTGAATGCTAGGTGATTACACAGAGAAGAAATATGACAGTGTATATGCACAAGACAGCAATGGAAAGGTTATCCAGGAACCTTCGTATTGACTTTTTTAGTAACATTCAATATTCAGCTATTTACAAGATTTTAATTTAAAATAATATTTGTTGTTTTATCCTCCTCAACACCACCTTTCGTATGATATCTGCCTCTATATTTCAAGTTCTTTACACTAGAAACTGGGAATTCATGTGTTTGTACAGTGCTGACGACACTGAGCCCAAGAGGATCTTAACTGAAGTCACCAAGAGTTTTATATAAATACATTTAACCACCACCTTTCTATCAAACTAGCTTCACTTTTTATGTTTTTAAGCACAGATGAGGATTTTTTATCATCAGGCTATGGGAGTCTTATGTTTCTGCTTTGCTCTGAGCTAGATTACACACTACACAAAATGCCAGACTTGTCTTTATCTGCAAGCACCTCACTGCTTGATTGAGATCACTTCCTGATCCATCACTACAGCAGCCTTGGTTCTCCTGTCTTCCAAACCCTGTTGCCAAGAGCCTAATTAATTCAGTTTCAAATATTCAATGTTATGCCTCTTCACCTCCCTAACCAGCTTCTAAAACACCACTGGAAGCCAGAATGTAAACCAATCTGGCCCTCAGCTTGCTTTCCCCACCGGCCTCCAGGCAACATATCAAAGGAAAACTTAAGCCCTGATGTCAGTAAGGCTTTCTCACCCTCTGCCTAGAGACACCCTCCAGTCCAAACAGCTGGGAAACAGATAGGAAAGGAGAGGGCTTTGAAAGTGCATCCACACAGCAAAGCAGTCAACATCTCCCCCAGTACTGAGCAGACCTGTCAAATTGAAGGATTATATAAACATGGAAAGAAAATATTGTTTTCAAACATCCACATTTATGGTTTTTTGATTGCAGTGAAATTAGATTCATTAGGAAGCATTCCCTTCTCCCACATAGTAAATTTTTTTTACCATCAGGATTGTTTCTCCATCAACCGTGACTTTTACTCTGTTATAGACAGAGCCTCTGTTTTACAGCGCTGTAATCCCATCCACAAATGCAAACAGATTGTAAAATGAACAATGGAAAAGTAGAGCATCCCTTTGATAAACAAGATTTTGGCAGAAAAGTAATCTCATTTCCACTTTTGACAATCAGAAAAGGTGTAAAGCTTTGATCAAGTCTGTAAAAAAAATTACTATTTAATTAATCACTAAGAAAAAATTACTGGTTTTAATTAGTGCAACACAGTCAATTTAAATACTGCAATAGTAGATACTACAGAAGGTCCAAAGTGAGGCTCCTGAATACTTCAAATTGCTCTGAGCAACAAAAGGAGAGGTATTTCTTGTCGTTTTAACCGCACTTTTTGTGAAGAGGTACTTTATCGAAGTCTTTCATCACACAGCACTAGAAAAGACATAACACCTAAACAACCTCTACAAGGTACAAGACTCAAAAAAGACTTCAGTACCAGGTGAAACACCTGCACATTCTTCAAAGAGCTACAAGCCTGCAGCCTAGACAGTTTTCCTTTTTGCAAGGATTTGGTGCTGGGTATGAAGGTTAGATTAGAAATGCTGAAGACAGACTAATTTGACAAAAAAGCAGCAAAGGCAAATGCATTCTGCTTATTATTCTACCAGTACATCTTACTCTTCAAAATACTTACAGTTACAATGGACTAGGACTCACATACAATCAGTTACTAGTTCTCAATGGTACTAGTAGAGTAGCACTGGTGGCAGGAGCAGTAGAACGATCATTACAACTACCCTCCAATCTCTCCATTATATAGTGTGACTGTTCTCCTTCAAGCTACACTAAACTGGCTCAAGAAAAATACTTTGACAAGTGTAACTAAAATTACGTGTCCTGAGAAAACATTTCTTCCAAGTGGGAAGACAACACAAGCCCTCCTCATCTACTGCAGTACAAGTCAGCCAGCTTGATTTTAACCATTTTACACAGGCTGACTTTGCATAGAACTCATTAACTGATTCATCAGCTGTACTGTGTTAGTAGCAATCAGCAGAAGACAGGTGGCCAATTATCTGGCATATCATAACCCACAGTCAGACATTCACAACACAGATCTTAGACGTATTCAGAACAAGGTGAAAGCAGTCAAACCTGGTGGGGAAAAAATAATCTAAAATGCAGTAATGTTATCTAGAAGACCATGCATCTTTCTAAAATGCTGAATTTTCTGTAAGGAAAAAATAGATGTAGAAAATAATTATTCAATGATACTTTAAGGGCAGGTGTATTCACAGTAGCCAATGACACACAATGTAAATACTAAAATTAAGATATTAAACTGCCCTATTTTTAAGGGTGTAGTCCCTTATGTAGCCAAGGTGAGACACTTATCTTGAATATGACTCCGAGCATCAGAGGGTCTTTTCCCGTTAAGCCTCCTGTAAAGTCAGCTGGACAGTCTGAGTTAGGTGCTTTTAATTTAAACTCTGAATACTCTCCTTTGAGTCCTAAACAAAAAGAGATCCATTCAAGAAATTTATCTCTAGATACACAAATCCATGGCTGGTGGATTCATACCTACTTGTATCAAAAGGGCTTATCAATAAAACAGACAAAAGATACTCTCAGGATCTATAATAAATATATTTTGAGGAAGGGAAAAAAAAAAAAGGAAAATTCTGCTAACAAAGAAAAGGAGAAAGCATCACAGCTTCTGCTCAGAAAGCAAAAATAAGGACAGCAAGGAAGACTGCAAATTTAATATAAAAAATTATACAGTAGTAAAATCAAAGATGTAATACAGAATTGACAAATCTGCAAGATAAATCTATCCAAGCGAGAAGATCATTTTAAATTGTGGAGCAAAACTATTAAGAATCACTGCTTCCTCTTGGGAAACAGACATGATGACCCAAGCAGAACAAAGGAAACATTTCAAGTCCTGGAAGAATGAAGTCACAGGCAAAGCATAAGCAACTTCAAGCAATTCTCACTTCCAGGTTAAATGACTTGCAAAACCCAGGTCAGAAAAGGATTCTGAGAGGCCATCTAATCTATACGTCCTACCTAAGAAGCAGGATTCAAATGCATCTAAGCCATTCTGTATAAATCATGTCTCATCTATTTACTGCTACATGGAACATGCAGCTTTGATGAGGACTATCCTACCCTTTTTGCTACTGTTTCATGTAAACTACAGGTTTGATTTTTATAGCCATTTTGTTACAGCTAAAACTTTAGCAGAGACATCATTATTCCTGCTGGAGCAACAGCAATAAAAATAACCCTAACCCCAAACCAGCCAACACAAGCTGTGCACACAAAAACGCATTTTCACTAGTGGAAACAACTTTGGTGCCAGCAGGGCTTACTGACATAGGGATGTGTGTGTAGCTACATTGCTTAACCTTTCCTAATACAGGGTAGCCTGTAACAAGTTGCAGCCAACAATTATTCATAAAAACAGATCATGTTCAAACTCAGCTATTATTCCTTCAGTACAATAATTGAGTTTCCATGATAGACAAATAGAGAAGAAACTGCTTGAATAATCAGCAAAATAGGGGCCATGAGAATATCAGAGTTATTACAGGAAAGAGAAAGAAAAAACAACTGGGCCAAAGCACTGAATGTATTTGTTATCTGATTATGTTATTTCCATTTGACACACATGTCTAAAAAGAAATTATACATACAAATGGATAAATACAAATGCAAATGAACAAATCTCACAGCAAGAGATAAGACACAACGCAAAAGCAGGACACATTGCTTTTGATATATATATAAAGAAAAATGTCATGTTAGGCTGCATTATCTTTTTAGAGATGAGCCTACAGCTTTGATTTTATAGCTATCCCTCATCCCTGTCTCACATTTCCCCTCACCTTTCCCACTGGCTTCAGTCCAAAATGTAACAGAGCAGAACAAAGTAATAAAACTATAGACAGAATGAGGAGATGAAGAAAGTTAAGTGAAGCACTTCAAATATCAAAAGCTAAAGTGAGAAGAACAGTAAAACTAAGCAGAGTGCAATCTTGACCAGTGAAGAAGGTATGTGGGGAGTGTTATAAAACCTGGTTTATGAGCTTCATTTAAGACATGGTTAATACTACATTTCTTTCTATAGGATTTGCCACGTAGAAAGATAGATCTGTTACTGTAAAATGCACTTTAAGCATTTTAGTTAAGTGCCTATCAGTAAAAAGCCCTTGACTTGTCAGTGATACATTTTCTCTCGGATACCCCTAAAACCAAGAAGTGCTGAGAACTCTCAAATATGGGCAAGCATTGCATTTAACCATAACATACCTAAATCAAAACTCTTAAAAAATATTTTGTTTCTGTTTTTTATTTTTTGTACATTTCCTTCTAAAACGCTGCCATTGGTTTTACTTTATTCACTTGTTCTTTTTCCCTTTCTAGAAATTTATTCTCAGAGTTGATGTCTTTAAGAAGTACATGCCAGAGAAATATATTCCTTCTGGTCTCAAACTCTGCAGGAAACATCAGAAAATTTCACCTTTGTCGTGAACTCTATAATACTCTAGGATGAATGCTCTGAATGTACTCTTTAAAAAACAGTTTCCCAAGGTGAACATTGCAAAATGAAACATTAGCTTTTAAACTGAAAATTTACTCTTCATTTCAAATAAATTAAATACAAGGTGTTTAGGACATTACTTATACTTTCTTACTTGTTCTTCCATTTTACCACACAATCAACATCCTATAGAAAGCAATATACGTATTTTTAAAAATAAACCAAATTCACCTCTGAACTGAGGATAAGACACATGATATGTATCAGAAGCATGTTGCAGAAGTCTGAAAATAAGGTATTTTCTCTTCTTCCAAAATTATTTATCATCCAAAGCCCTGTCTACAAGGCTCATTAACTTTAGTTCTCTTTTCAAAGAGGATATGACTAAGAGCAGCACTGATTCAGTGGGTCACGGACACATCACCACCAGTCAGTCTTCTGTCACATTAACATTTTCCCTAGGTAGGTCCCAGCCCTAGGAAGTCATCAGAAAGGGAATATTTTCATAAGTGTGGAACTAATATACTTGCAGCCTATGCAAGCAGTAAAGGTACATTTCTGTCCCCTTGCTGGCTTGTGGCTTTCAAGCACAGACTTGTAAGATGGGTGGCTAATACCTCTCCCATACAATTACTCAAACTTCAGGTAACATTACTTAAAAATACAGCATATCTATAATGCACTAGTACATAATACACAGAAATGGTAGAATATGAAGAGCATCCTTGAATAGTTTTGGGATTACTATCTTGTGAGTAAAACAGACTAAGCACAATTAAATGTAAGCTTCATGATGTAGTCACAAACATGATAGCTATGCTTTCAAAGAGGTAAATACAGATTAGTATTTACTCAGTTCTCTATCTGAGAATAAGAGATATTGCAGCTACTCTAGTCTGTGCCTCTAAGACTTGGAACATATGAACTGCTGAACCACAATCACCAAGCTCCAGAAGGAAACTAAATACTTAACATAAAAAAAGCAACTGAAATAGCCAGCTTAATTTTAAAGGTAGAAGAGATAACATACAAGCACTTGAAACAACAGAAGAAATACTCACCTTTAAACACCCATGCCAAAGTTAGGGGAGAGAGAAAATGTGATAAGAGTTCAAACTAAATTGAACAGCATGAAAAACTTCTGTTGTAAAGGCTCACAGGTGAACTGCTAGAGTAGTTATGAAGCTATACCAGACAGTAAAAGAAAGATTAGCTAGACATATGTCAAGAGCAGATTATCTAAAAAAGCACATTAGATAATAAATGAAAATCTCACTCAATATGCCCTCTTTCAGGCCTGTATTCTGATTCTTAAAATTAGGAACTCATTTCCCTTGGAAAAAATCATCACTCTGGGTTGCAGATGATCTTTTCAAATCACACAGCTGGTCTCACTGGTGTTCATAGTGAACACATACATACACATCACAGATTGCTTGAGCACAACTGGAACTACTCTTACAGCAGCTCAGCAAACATGCCAAGTATTGAACAGGCACCAAGAATGAACTTCCTTGCCCCAATTAAAATACAAGAGAAGAAACCAAACTGGCAAGCCGAGGGGTGAGGACCCCCAAGACTGAACCAAGACCCTACAATGTCCGATCCCGATAGCTGAACAAACACAAGGAGCTGCCACCTGCACCCAGTTCTGGTCTAGCTTGACTACATGCAGAACAAAGCATCTGAAAAGCTGAAGACACAGTGCAATAAAAAGACAGCAAATACCCAGCTGTCTTCAGTTAGCATTCCTCTGCTTCAGATTAATAATTCCATGGCATTTTATACTGAGGGAAAAAAATCCCATGATGTTTTTTGTAAGAAACAAGCAAACCATGGTATTGCTAAAACACAGGACTTCATTTTCCTTTTACAGATTAAGGAAACTGATGTGAAGGTACACATTCCTAGCTCTTCAACTATTCAAGCACTGTCAGTCTTAAGAAAATAAGCAACCCCTTTACACCAGAACACCAAGCCAGAATAAAGCTTCTGCTGTTTGTTTCTCTGATACTACCTACTCCAAACCAATTCCCTGCAAAACACCTCAGCATTCACAAAGTCAGCTGCAACAGCAAATGGAGAACAGTAGCTTTTGGTGGAATTCATCTGTGTGACTTTTTCCACATGCTGTGACAGACTAAGGTTAGGTAAGACAAGAATAGGGATCAACTGATAGAGAAAGGATGCTACAAATGCTGCTGATGATTGTTAATCAAGTTTGCTCTGTAAAGATGAATGGAGGGAGCATTCTGACTTCAGGAGATCCTTTGGTTTTGTTTTCTCTCAATGTTTTTATATTTTAAAACATCCACATACTCATAACAGGGTAGCAAGTGCAGCTAAACTGATTTAGAAAAACAGCCAGGACAGGGCACTGTAAAGTAATCATCAAGTATTTCAGGCAAAGTTAGCCACAGGAAAAACTCTAAAATATGCTTTTCTTCACTAGGGTTATATGGCAGGATGATATTCTTACTACACAAGAATTAATGTATGTATATACACACACACACACACATATATATACACTTTTTTAAATAATTGAAAACATAACCCTAGAGAGAACTAAGTGATCAACAAATTAACAAAATGATCCAGAGAACAAATCAAGATTCAGTTTGGATCAGTGGTACCTTGATTTGCTCACAGAATAAAGCAAACAAAAAAGAACTATCAGGGTTACCTGACTGTATTTTTCTATCCATGTAATTCATCTGTTAAATTTGCACATACCCTTCTTACTGCCTGTAAATAGTACTGAACTCTCAGGAAGGAAAGTTATCCAAGAAATGTTTTTTTCTAAATTTAGAAACAGGTCTGCTTCTCTTGTTTGCTGTTTTCTTCCTCCTCCACTGCTACTACCCCTGTAAGCTTACTAACAGTATTAAAACCCTAATGGGATCTGTGTTTACATGACTTTCTTATACCTCTTATTTCCTCAACTAGAGTTATACAACTCTA